TCTCCCAGTAGGGCTGGGGATGTTCCCCCGCCTGAAACTCTAGAGCAGGCATCCCCAAACGCGGCCCTCCAGCTGTTTTGGGACCACAACTCCCATCATCTCTAGCTAACAGGACCAGTGGTCAGGGATGATGGGAATTGTAGTCCCAAAACAGCAGGAGGGCTGAGTTTGGGGATGCCTGCTCTAGAGAGCTGCTGCCAGCTAGCGTAGATGATGTTCTACATCAGGGTTTCCCAAACCTGGGTCTCCAGCTGTTTTTGGACTACAACTCCCATCATCCCAAGCGGCGGTCAGGGATGATGGGAACTGTAGTCCAAAAACAGCTGGAGACCCAAGTCTGGGAAAGCCTTGTGCATAGTTTCAAACACCTCTATCACGATCCCATTCCCTAAATACAGTGGTACCTCGGGTTGCAGACACTTCAGGTTACAGATGCTTCAGGTTACAGACTCCGCTAACCCAGAAATAGTACCTCGGGTTAAGAACTTTGCTTCAGGATGAGAACAGAAATCATGCGGCGGTGGCGGGAGGCCCCATTAGCTAAAGTGGTGCTTCAGGTTAAGAACAGTTACAGGTTAAGAACGGACCTCCGGAACAAATTAAGTTCTTAACCCGAGGGACCACTGTAAATAAAAAAACCAAATGTAGTACCCCCCGTTATCAAACTCAGGAACTCGGGTTGGTGTTCACAATTCCTCTCCTATTTCCTTTCCAACAACCCTAAGTCAGGGCAGAGGAAGAGAGGGCAGCCCAGAGGTCGCCCGAGGTTTATTCTTGCATGATTTGAATCCAGTGCCGACACACGAATTCAGAAATGTGCGTCCCTACCTCCAAAATTTGCCTCCTCCTCCCCAGTACACCCCACTGGCTCTTGTCGCCACTCTCTTTCCCCCTCATGTTCCCCACAGAGGAAGAAAAATCCAACACCCGTCTGCTCCTGGGGATGACCCTCGACTCATACGCCCGCTACCTCCTGGCGCACAGCCAGGCATCCGCGGCCCAGAAGATGTACGAGAGAGCCCTGCAGATCTCCATGGAGGTTCAAGGGGAGACACACCCCCAGGTGAGGGCGCAGCATGTGAGCGGAGCAGTTATGTTTCGGGAGTGGAGAACACCAAACTTTCTCCGCAAACAAAGCTAAGAGTTGAGACCGTAGCTCCGGGAAACATAGCTGTCAAGTGTCCCTTATTTGGCAGGACAGTCCCTTATCCCAGCAGCTATGTCCCGCTGCTGTCCCTTATTGATGAGGCTTCGTTTGGCTGCTGGCTGGGCTTTCTGCCTTTGGCTTGGAGGGGCTCAGAAGTTGAACATACCTGTGCCCGGGAAATCCCTTATTTTGGCTGCTGATCCCTTATTTTCGAGGCTGCTGGCCCCTTATTTTCAAATCTGCAAGTTGACAGCTATGCCGGGAAAGAGCCTCTGCAATGCATTTGGGGAACTCCCAGTTTTGATTCCCAACACCTCCAGTTTAAAGAAACCATAACCTACAAGTTATCAGCTGGTGGGATCCTTTCTGGATATTCCTCACCCAGGAGAACAGCTGCCAGTCAGAAAAGAAGTGGAGCAGGACTGGCGAGGGCCGCAGTCGAGAGGCCTGGGGGGCCACACTCGGCCCCTAGCTGGCCTGAGGTTCCCCACACCTGATGTGAGCAGATTCGCTGCTGAAAGTGGCCTCTGGTCGCCCTTTAGATGTTCTCAGAGCAGATCATGCTCTTGCTAGATAGACAAGGCAAGGCTAGTCGAGGATGGATTCCTTTTGATGAGAGATTGTCTCTCCCGCTCCTCCCCCCCCCCCGACACAGACGGTGGTTCTGATGAACGATTTGGCAACGGCTCTGGATGCCCAGGGCCTCTACGAAGATGCCTACGTGCGAGTAAGGAGGGCATCGGAGCTGGCCCAGCAGACAGAGCACCCAGAGACCTATGTTGTGTTGAACAACTTTGCTGGGATTCTCATGCACAAAGGTGGGTTGTAAAATGTTGGGGGGGGGGTTGAAGGACAGCAGGTGGGGTGGAATGGGCATTTAACTGGAGAGCTGCCATCAAAAACAAGGACAATTGTCCGCCCTTCCCAACCTCCCAAATAGTCCTCTCGGTCTATTATGGTCAACGACTAGTATCCAAACAAGAAAACTTAGTACAAGTATATAAAATACTGTGTTGTTGTTTCATTAGTTTATTTCTATCCCGCCTGTTTCCCAAGGCAGATAAAGAGGAAGTTCTTATTTGGGCAGCACATTAAGTTGAAACTGTGGAGCTCCCTCCCACTGGAGGAAGCGACGGCTGCCAACTTGGATGGCTTTAAGAAAGCACGGGACAAATTTGCGGAGGAGGAGAAAGCTATTGATGGCTACTAGCCAGGATGGCTACTAGCCACAGTTGGAGGCAACAAGGCTTCTGAATATCACTTGCTGGAAACTGCAGGAGGGGAGAGGGCTGCTAAGCTCCAGCCCTGCTTGCGGGTTTCCCGCAATGGGCATCTGGGTGACCACCGAGAGGACAAGATCTAGCAGGCTCTTCTCATGTTCTGAAGTCAGCTTCCTAGGCTACTCTGCCCTGCTTCCAGTTTCCCTCAAGTAACTCGTCTCTGCTCTTTGGTCAAGGAGGATGCCTGTATTAACATCCTTGCATTGTTAACCATGGAATTGTAGAGTTGAAGGGAGCCTAAGGGTCCTGTAGTCCAACCCTCTGCGGTGCAGGAATCTCAATTGCTTGCAGGCACTGACTGGCAGCATCTTGCCAGGTCTTCTAAGGCAGCCCTACCTGGAGCTGCTGGGAAGTGTACCCAGGACCTAAGAAAAACTCAACCTCCAGCAATTTCTTGATCTCCTGCCCTCAGGCATGATTACACAGATCACGTTCGCAACCTGAGCATCCACTGTATCTGCAACCAAAATCACATCTTCCAGTCCCCAGTTGCCTGTTTCCGGCAGACTTTGTGAAGCGCTATGTACATCAATTGCATCATAGGAGAAAATTGTGTTTGTGTCACGTGGGTACTTACCTCATTTGCTTCACTGTCCCCCCCCCCCCCGCTTCTCTCCCACAAAACGCAGAAGAGTATTCATCGGCGAAAGCTGTCTACAGAGAGGCCCTGCAGAAGGCAGAGGCAGCTGGAGACGGGGCTTCCGTCAGACACATCCGGAAAGAGCTGGCCGAGCTTGCCAGGCGGCAGAGGAAGGGGCCAGTCTCTACGGCCAGTTCCTCAGGAGGAGAACAGAAGTGATGGAGCCGGCGCAGGAGGGAGAGGGTGGCGCAAGCGTCGGCCGCAAAATCCTCAGAAGCCCAGCATCTCCCTTTGCGCGGCAAGGACAGATGTGTTGCGGGAAACCCAAGGCGACCCCATGAAGCATCCCTGGTAAAAAGGTCAAGAGGGGTCGGTGGGTCAGAGACCCCAGGAGGCTGGGGTGAGGGTGTGCCATCAAAATATACGATGCGGGCAGGCGTCTCCGTAAATCTCTTGGCTGGGAAAGGAGACGAAAAGCTAGGCTTTGCATCCCAAAACTGAATAAAGATGACTGCAGCTTCTTAAGGGTGGATCTTTAAAAAGAAAGAAAGAAGAGAGTCGACAACATTTACTCTGAGGATTTAAGAGGGCTGGCACTGGCCTGCTGGAGGGGGGGTGTTTAATCGGGGTGAAGGGCCCTGGGGAAAAAGAAAGAAGTGTGTGGCGGAATGGGAGAATTGGCTTCCCTTTCCATTTCTTCCTCCTCCTTCCCCGTCCCCAGCGGTTCAGAGGAGCTGGTGGGAGCCAGTTCAACTCCTGGGAAAGGGACACACAGTTCGTTTGGCGGCACGAGGCAGAAGGAGGGGAGAGGGCTCTCTTGCACTCAAATCCTGTTTGCCGGTGTCCTGTTAATGGCATCTAGTCAGCCACAGTGAGAACAGGATGCTGGGCTAGGTGGACCATTGGCCTGATCCAGCACACTTTTCTTAGGTCCTGGGTACACTTCCCAGCAGCTCCAGGTAGGGCTGCCTTAGGAGACCTGGCGAGATGCTGCCAGTCAGTGCCAGCAGTACTGGTGTAGATGGACCGCTGGGTCCAACTCTGTCACAAGCCAGCTTCTGCTCTCTCTTCCTTTGCCTCTGCTCTTCCCCATCTGGTGGTGAGGACTGGGGCAGCGCTTAGGACGGAAGAATCTTGTTTTGGGTTGCCTGCCTCTCCTGACCAGCCCTCCACAACAGGGGCCTTCCTGCTGGCCAGACTTCAGGACTCCCCTAAACCTAGAGCTACGGCGGAGAAGCACCCCCATGAAGCAGGGCGACAAGACAGCCCCTTGTGCAAACAAGGCAACGTGTGTGGTAAAGGTAAAGGGACCCCTGACCATTAGGTCCAGTCATGGCCCACTCTGGGGTTGCGGCACTCATCTCGCTTTACTGGCCGAGGGAACCGGTGTACAGCTTTCGGGTCATGTGGCCAGCAGGACTAAGCCACTTCTGGCGAACCAGAGCAGCGCAGGGAAACACCGTTTACCTTCCCGCTGGAGCGGTACCTATTTATTTACTTGCACTTTGACATGCTTTCGAACTGCTAGGTTGGCAGGAGCTAGGACTGAGCAATGGGAGCTCACCCCGTCGCGGGGATTCGAACCACCGACCTTCTGATCAGCAAGCCCTAGGCTCTGTGGTTTAACCCACAGCGCCACCCACGTCCCTTACACCATGCTTGCTGTATCCTCTTATGAAATTGCCTAATCCTCTTTTGAAGCTATCCAAGTCGGTGGCCATCACTGCCTGCAGCAGCAGCAGCGAGTTCCACAGTTCAACTATGCGCTGCACGAAGAACTATTTCCTTTTATCCACCCTGAATCTTCCAACAAAATTGGGAGAAGGGAAAAAGACTTCCAGCAGTACCACAGCTTTCCACCCCAGCCACCCACACCCTGTGTGCCCCAGTAATGGAATTTAAAGAAGACAAAACTCACCCAGAGCCTTCTGATTTAGGGAAACAAATTTACTAGGGCTGCCCGTCAAAGCAACAAGTGGGGTTTTTTTTCCCCCCTTTTAAAAACAACAGACAATGTTGAAGCAAGAGAATTATCGGGACCGGGGCAGGCTGTGCCATTCAAGCAGTTCAGTGTGTGGCCGGCGAGGGAACCCTCGCCATGTCTGAGTTATCGGGGAGCGAGAGAAGGGAGCTTCACCATTATGTACCCATGCAATAAAAGTATTTTCACAGTGTTGCCAAACAGAAACCCAACTGTATGGGGAAAGAAAATTTACAGCGTGGCAGAATCATTAAAAAGACCTCCCTCACCTGCCAGGGGGCCAGAGTTGGTTTGTATTAAAAATAAAAATAAATGTACAGGATTCATTAAACGGGGTCAGTTAAAAAAAAAAAAGTTTTCCCACAAGGTGTTGAACAACCACAGAAAAGGGGTGGGGGTGGGGGAAGTCCCTAGAATTAGGTGGGGGGGGAGAGGAAAGATTGTTTGGGGCTACTTGCAAGAAGATCAAGCAAGGGTGGGACGCGGAGGGGGAACTTGGGGGCGTGAGCCTGGTTGGGGGACACGTTGACTGTGGGTGCCCCTCAAAACCGGAGCTCACAGGCAGGAGATGTCCTGGGCTGTATCGCGTGCTCAAAATATTACACCCTTTGATAAAACACTTTCCTTAAAAAATAAAAGTTAAAATGACCCCAAAAACATTTATGCAATGATTTGATTGAACAAAAGCACACCAGATACCTAGCAATAGAGCTGGGACAGGGGAGTGTGGGAAGGGGGGGGGGGGACACAGCAGGAAAAAAAAGTTACCTCTATTTACATAAGAATGATTTTTTTTTCCTTAAGGAGACATTATGTTAGTCTTTTTCTCTTTACAAATAAAAGATGTCGCTCAGGAATAGGTCCTTTTTTCCTTCCTTTCCGTTCCTTTCCTCTTTCTTTTTGTTAAAAAAACAAACAAAACCTCTTTACATATTTATCTTCAGGGCACTGAGCCTCCCCTTGCTCACGTAGGCTTGCACAGAAAGGGAGTCTTGATAAAAATAAACCACCACCCCCCACAAAACCGGCTCCTGTAACTCCTTCATCTTCCAAGGTCCCGGCTCTCGCTTGCAAAGTCTTTGGAGGAGGGGGGGACGTGTCATTTTAAAAACAGAAAGCGCAACCCAACAGCTTCCGAGGCAGAAATGAAGTTTCTTTTATAAAAGGGTCCTTCCCCTCGCCTCCCTGGGCCGCCGTCTCCTCCTGGTTCAGTCGTCGCTGTCCGAAAGCGTTTCGTACTGGGCGGACAGGAGGGGCGCCGGCTCCCGTTCCCATATCCGGTTGGGCTGGTGGGAGGCGGCCTGGCTGACCGAGGGAGGGGCGCAGGCGATGGACGCTGGAGGGGTGCTGCTCAGCATGCGCATGGTCAGAGGGTTGTAGGGGAACTGCGTGGATCCTGGAGGGTCAAGGTTTTGGAAGGGGGGAGGGAAAAGAGGAGAAGAAGAAATGGGGGGTTGAAATATCGTCCCCAGTCCTACCAGCCTGTGAACAGAGTACCCAGCCCAATCCTGCATTTTGGGTCAAGCACATTCCAACCCAGGGTTGACTAGACTCAAGATGAATTGAATGTTAGATTAGGAGGTTAAACCTGAACTACCACGCTGTGCAACTGGTGGGGGATACAATCTTGTGGCATCAGCTGCTGTGCAGTTCACAAATCCTTCCCCCTCCAGGTGGTTCTCAATAGAGTCCTCCAAGCTCTGCTGCAGGAGACCCACTGGTTGTCTACCTGAACAGAATAGCTTAAGGCAGGAGTGCCCAAACTTTTTTCAAAGAGGGCCAGATTTGATGAAGTGAACAACAAAGTTGTTAACCTTTTTTTAGGATTGAAGTTGAGTTGTTGAGGGGTTTTTTTAGGATTGAAGTTGCTGAGCTTTTGGGGGGATTTTACTCCAGGAAATAAACCAACTGGCGGGCCAGATTAGGCCCCCGAAATGGACTTTGGACATGCCTGGCATAAGAGAATGCTGGATCAGGCCAATCAATGGCCTCTCTAGTCCAGCCTCCAGCTCTTGCAATGACAGACCAGTGAAATCCACAAGCGGGATCTGAACCCAATAGCTTATCTCCCCTCCAGCGGTTTCCAGCTACAGTCGTACCTCGGAAGTCGAACGTTCGGGTTCCAAAGAACGTTCGCAAACTGGAACACTCACTTCCGAGTTTGTGGCGTTCGAGAGCCAAAACCTTTGACTTGCAAGGCGTTCTGGATCCAAGTTACTGGGATTTAGAAGCATGGCTGCCTCCAGCTGCCCTTTCCTCCCTGGGAGGCTCGTTTGACATATCAAGCCATCGGTATTACTGGCCCGCACCTGGGGATCGCCCTGTCCCAATATATTGACTGTTTCTGTTTCACAAAACTTATACAGCTCTTGATTGTAAGGACAGCAGAGCATCCTATCCATTTCAATCTAATTGAGATTTCGTTCTGGTTATAAGCCACCCGTTTTCTTTCATTGGAGTATCCCAACAGGTCGATCACGATCTACTGGTAGATCCCCACGAGGTTTTGGTAGATCGCCGCTCCCTTTCCTTAGCGTCACTAAAACTGACTCCTGCCACACCACGCCCTCCATTGTATGATCTCTGGAAGGGAAGACAGAGCTTTCTCTGTGCTGATGTTTTGCTCCATAGCAATCTTTTGTCACTTTACCCCTTTGTCCCTTGCCTTTAACCCCCCCCATGGAACTCCCCCCCCCAAAAAGCTGTTTTTTTTAACCCCTAAAAAACAGGGCTTTTCTCCTCCCTAAATAAGTTCAACAGCTTTGAGCTGAACCCCCCAAAACGGGGGCAGGTCACTGCCAGTTTTTAATTCTGAAAGTAGATCGCAGTCTCTTGAGAGTTGGCCACCCCTGCATCCTTTTTCCATTTGCCTTTTTAACATGGCTTGGTGTCTAAGCTGCTCTGTTTTCTTTCAATGGCATATCCATGCCGGACTCCTGTCTGAAACGCTGGGGAGCCAATAATGTCAGTCCGCGTTGACAACACTAAGCCGATGGCCCACGGTCTGACTCTGCCTAAGGCAGCTTCCTGTGGCTCTGTTTAAAGGAGCTCTCCATTCAGAACCACGAGGACTGCAAACTTGGCTTTTCCTTTTAAGGAAAGAGCTGCAGCTTACTGGAAAGGAAAGCTGCCTTGCTAGGTGGCCTGGAGGCCTAAAGAAGCTGCCTAATTTGCTTTGATTTATGCCAGGGGTCAGCAAACCTTTTCAGCAGGGGGCCGGTCCACTGTCCCTCAGACCTTGTGGGGGGGGGCGGACTACATTTTTTGGGGGGAAATGAAGGAATTCCTATGCCCCACAAATAACCCAGAGATGCATTTTAAATAAAAGGACACATTCTACTCATGTAAAAACATGCTGATTCCTGGACTGTCCACAGGCCGGATTGACAAGGCGATTGGACCTTAGGTTGCCTACCCATGCTTTACGCGAACAAATAAAAACAGCCCTCTGGAAGATCTTGCCACCCGCAGGAAGGCGCTTCCTCGTGGCGCCCACGACTGGCCTGGCTCACCTGTGGAGGAGGGCCGGTCTTCCCACGACCACACCGGCGTCTGCCTGTGGTAGTCCCCTTCCGAGTGCACCGACGAGACCGACGAGGGTCGCTCTGTCCCCAAGTAGCCTTGCCCGGGGATCGGGGACTTGGACTTCCTGCTGCCCGATTTCCCCATCAGCTTTTGCTTGCTGACACCACCTGGGAAAAGGAAAGGTGGAGGGAGGGATGCCAGGGCCTCTTCCGCGCCCTCGGACAGAGACTGCCCGGTTCTCTGCAACAGAGCGGGGGGGATGCCCCTTCATGTGGGGTGAGAAGGGGACACGGGCTGCTGCGTGGGCAGCGGACTTGGTTTCAAAAGTTGCATTCAAATCCTTTTTATAAAGGAATGCAAGGTCAAGCATCCTGTTCTCACAGTAGCCAACCAGTTGCCATCTTTGGCTACATGCTGCCTTCACTGAAGGCACAGCATCGTAAGAGTTGGAAGGGGTCCTGAGGGTCATCTAGTCCAACCCCCTGCAATGCAGGAATCTCAACTAAAATATCCATGACAGAGGGCCATCCAAACTCTGCTTAAAGACCTCCAAGAAAGGAGAGCCCACCAACTCCCGATGGAGATCGTTCCACTGTCAAACAGCTCCTACTGTCAGAAAGTTCTTCCAGATGTTTAGCCAGAATTTCCTTTCTTGTTACTTGAAGCCATTGGCTCAAGTCCTACCCTCCAGAGTGGAGAAAACAAGCTTGCCCCACCTTCCATGTTACAGCCCTTGAGATATCTGGAGAGGGCTATCATTTCTCCTTTCACTCTCTTTTCTATGGTAAACACCCCCAGCTCCTTCAACCGTTCCTCATAAGGCTTGGTTTCCAAACCCTTGATCATCTTGGTCGCCCTCCTCTGCACACCTTCCAGCTTGTCAACATCCTTCTTAAATTGTGGCGCCCAGAACTGGACACAGGGCTCCAGGTGGGGTCTGACCAAGGCAGAATAGAATGGTCCTATTACTTCCCTTGATCTGGACTCTATGCTTCAGTTGATGCAGAATAGAATAGCATTAGCTTATTTTTTGCTGCTGCATTACATTATTTAGGGAAGCTTTTAACATTTAATAGACTATTGTATTTTAATATTCTGTTGGAAGCCGCCCAGAGTGGCTGGGGAAACCCTGCCAGATGGGCAGGGTATAAATAATAAATTATTATTATTATTATTTACTCGTGTCCAGCTTGTGGTCTACAAAGACCCCTAGATCCTTTTCACGTGCAAGCCAGGTGTCCCCATCTTACATTTCTGCAGCTGGTTCTTCCTGCCTAAGGTAAAGGTAAAGGGACCCCTGACCATTAGGTCCAGTCGTGGCTGACTCTGGGGTTGCGGTGCTCATCTCGCTTTAGTGGCTGAGGGAGCCGGTGTACAGCTTCCGGGTCATGTGGCCAGCATGACTAAGCCGCTTCTGGCAAACCAGAGCAGCGCACGGAAACGCCGTTTACCTTCCCACCAGAGTGGTACCTATTTATCTACTTGCACTTTGACGTGCTTTCGAACTGCTAGGTTGGCAGGAGCAGGGACCGAGCAATGGGAGCTCATCCCGTCGCGGGGATTCGAACCGCTGACCTTCTGATCGGCAAGTCCTAGGCTCTGTGGTTTAACCCACAGTGAAGTCAATTGGAGATTGAGGGCATATGACATAAATGAATGTTAAGGCGAGTCCTGCTGGATCAGGCCAAAGGGGGCCCCATTTGGTACAGAATCCTGTTCTCGCAGTGGCAGATTCCCTCAAGCAAGACCAAGCGCAAGAACAACTCTCCCCTCCTGTGGTTCACAGCAGCTGGTGCTCAAAGGAAGCATTGCTACCTGCAGCCGTGAAGCTGCAAAATTTGCGTATGAAGGACCTGCCGTGCCCGTGCAGCCGCCGCAAGCTTCCCCCCCAAGCGTGCCGCGGCCGCCCTTACCTGGGTTAGGGGAAGGGTTGGCGTCTTCCCTCCGGAGATCGCTGCTGGCTGCCAGGGAGGGGTTGGAGCCCGCAGAGACCAGCCCCATGGGCTGGGCCATGACGATGGCGTGGTCCTCCCCTTTGTCGTCAAAGTTGCCCATTAGGGCCTTGCGGATGATGTCCTCCAGGCCCAGGTTGCTGGCAGGATCTGCAAAGGAATGACCTCGAGCACTGACTGGACCTGGGAGGAGGAAAGAGAGACGGGGAGGGAAGAAGAGGAGGAGGAGGGGGCGGAGAGAGGAAGGAGAGGAAGAGGCAGTTTTCAAGAGGGGCAGAGAAAGTGGGGAGAGAGAGAAAGAAGATGGTGAGTACAGTTGATGCAATGCTCCAAAGCAGGGGTCAGCAAACTTTTCCAGCAGGGGGCTGGGTCCACTGTCCCTCAGACCTTGTGGGGGGGCCGGACTATATTTTGGAAAAGAAAGAAAGAAAAAAACCGAATTCCTATGCCCCACAAATAACCCAGAGGTGCATTTTAAATAAAAGCACACATTTTACTCATGTAAAAACACCAGGCAGGCCCCACAAATAACCCAGAGATGCATTTTAAATAAAAGGACACATTCTACTCATGTAAAAACCCCAGGCAGGCCCCACAAATAACCCAGAGATGCATTTGAAATAAAAGGACACATCTTATTCATGTAAAAACACGCTGATTCCTGGACCATCTGCGGGCCGGATTTAGAAGGCGATTGGGCCAGATCCGGCCCCTCGGGCCTTAGTTTGCCTACCCATGCTCCAAAGCTTCAGTTTGCAAACTGTGAAGCAGCTGAAAAAAGTCCACCGTACCAGCGACTGACAGTAGGAGCACTGTTTTGGTTGGGAAATCATCGAGGCTTGCAGCATGCAAGGCTGCTAATGTGTGCATTGAAAACGCAAGAGCAAAGGGATTTACACGGGTGCCGGACTGACAGACATCCCCCCATGACACCTTGCACGATCACCTCACCAATTCCTCATGAATTAAAAATTAAAATTAAATTCAGACCTAAGAGTGTTTCAGGACCTGCTTCCCGGTTGATGAAATGCAAGTATCTTAGCTGGGCTTCCTGCATTGCAGGGGGTTGGACTCGATGACCTTTGGGAGTCCCAGCACTACAATTCCATGATTGTTGAGCTCACTGATGTGGACAAGTTGTTGTTTTTTTTAAAAAGCGAATGTGGCTGCGATGTGACAATCCCATACAAAGTGTCAGCAGCTACCTCTGTAGCTCCCTCCCCTTGTTGTGGCAGGATCGTTGCTGTGTCTATTTAAGGTTCTAGACCTCATCGTTTCAATTTCTGAGGTTTCTCCCCACACGCAAACATTTCCTAAAATGCTGTGAAGGCAGCATCCAAACTCTCAGGTTACCACGGGCTCCACTGTGAGAGCAGCTTTGTCGCCCAACAGCAGCTCAAGACTGCGGTAAGGAAGAGAGACCCTCCTCTGTCCCACGACTCACTGGGTGCTTTCAGGGAAGGCTCACCTGAGGTAGTGACCGCGGGCAAGTTAAAGATTTCAGTCCCTGGCTGAGCGGCAGCTGTTGAAAAAGAGACACACAAAACACACATCCCAATCAGAATCAACTCGGGCAAATTCAAACATGTCCTCATCCAAATGAGATTCTCTTCAATTCCTCTGCCCTGATTTTTTAAAAACCAGGGATAAGGAAGCTTTTTGAACTCAAGGGCTGGGTTTCTTCTGGGACCACAGTGGGAAGGGGGCGGAGCCAGAGGCAAAAGTGGGCGGAGCGACAGATGTGGCTTTTACCCTATCTCTGCACCAGGAGTGAGTATCAGCCCTACCCCAGCATAGCTGCAGCTGATGGGATTGGTAGTCCAAAATGTCTGGAGGGCACCGGGTTGAGGAAGAGTGGGTGGAATTACCCAGATGCCTCCAAATGCAAAGATGAGGCTGAAGGTCGATTGAAAGGAGGAGGTGAGGACAGAACAGCAACTCACGCAGAGAGACAGACAGGGAGTCCCTTGCCCAGGAGAGCGCTTTGGGAGTGATCCTAGCAGCCATTAATGAAGGAATCAATCTATTTCATCAGGGCCAAATGAGGAGATCTTGGACTGCACTCGGGAAACACACAGTGGCTGGGGAATTATTTCTGAGAAAAGGAAAAGGCAAGCGAAAGGAGATCCTTCGTTACCCATGTCATTGTCGCCTCCCCCGCAGGAGTTCAGCTTGCGGAAGATCTCCTGCTTCTTCGACATCACCATTGGCGAGGTGCTCTCCAGCTTGGTGAAGAACGAAGGCAGGTAGCTCATGCTCCCCGGAGAACGAGAGTCCGTCCTGCCGAGAATGAAGGGTTGAGAAGGGACACATGAAAGAAAACGGGCGATACTTTAAAAAGAAAACACCTGCAGGCATACACGTGTTTCTCGCTATCTTGACACTCGCTACGTGAAAATCTGCTTATTTGAACACGGTGAATTAGCACCCAGAACCTTGCTATAGGAATGGCTGATTCAGATATCAGCCTTAAAGTTGGTCTACTTCCTTGCTTGTGTTTTGCTGGTTGATGGCTGCCGTTTCGGGCAGAAACAACAGAGGAAAGGCAGAAGGGAGAAATCACGTATTAGATATTTCCCCAATGGAAATAAGGGAAGCCGCCAGTTTGTTATGCGAACGCTCGCCTGATGAATGATTTCACAGAGATGGGCTGTGTTCCGATAGCAGGACCTGCACATACGTTTTAACAGGCTTATTAGAGCTTCATTTCTGCCAAACTCTTGCATCCGGAATTTCTATCAGGGCACCTTGGGCTCTGTGTGCGCCTGTCGATCTCAAGACCACAGGCAAGCAACTTAACTGACAGGCATGGATGTGAAACTGCTGTGATGCCCGTCTTGTGTACCTCTGTTCCGAAGGCTCGGATCGCTGGGAGAGTAATATGAGGCTGTCTTGCTTCTCGTGAGCAGCCGGGGCCTGGGGGGGCGAGATCGGTTCGTATGACTCGGAGGAAACGTGGCTCCTCTCTGGGGACTTTCCAAGCCTAGAGAGATTGCGCGGCAAGAAACGTACAAAAGCATTTCAAATTATAAACACGCAGATATCCTCTCCTGGTCTCCCTGCCCCAAACTTTCGAGGACGGAGGCTGAGGTTAAACTGTATGAGCCGGTGAGAAGAGAGGCCACTTATATGCAGGGTCTTGTAAAAGGAGAGGGGTCAGACTGAACTCCACCCAAAGGCCTGGCGGAACAGCTCCATCTTGCAGGCCCTGCGGAAAGATGTCAAGTCCCGCAGGGCCCTGGTCTCTTGTGATAAGAGCGTTCCACCAGGCTGGGGCCACGGCCGAAAAGGCCCTGGCTCTGGTCAAGGCCAGTCTAACCTCCTTGAGGCCCGGGACCTCCAAGATGTTATTGTTTGTGGACGGTAAGGTCCTCCGCGGTGCATACCATATTATTATATTTACACCCCACATATCTTCCAAAGAGCTCAAGGCGGTGTGCATAGTTCTCCCCCCCCCTTTATTTTATCCTCACAACAACCCTGTGAGGGCGGTTAGCCTGAGAGTAAACCCAGGGAGCTTCCTGAAGGCCGAGTGGGGACCAGGAGCCTCTTTCTTAACCGGGTCTTAAGTCTGACATTCTTAACCACAACACTACCCTGGCTCTCCAATCTAGTCCAGCATCTCGTTCCTTTTAAGGATCTAGCAAATGTCGGGAAACAGTTGAAATTAGCAATACTAAAAGCATTGTTTCATTTGAACAAACTGCTTGGAGGTTGTTGTCTTTTTACCATCAAGCAGTATGTAATTTTTATGTTTTCGCCATTTATCAAATAAATGTTAGTAATATTACTTACCATTAGTATGGTTTATTATTATCATTAATGTGTTATTTACTTTGTATGATTATTACCGTATTTTTCGCTCCATAAGACGCACTTTTTTCCTCCTAAAAAGTAAGGGGAAATGTGTGTGTGTGTCTTATGGAGCGAATGCAGGCGGGAGGCTCTGGTCAGCGCTCTCTTTAAAGAGCCGTGCCGAGCGTGAGTGCGGCTCTTGCTGGCTTTTCCGCGAGAGGCGCTGCGCTGCTCTGCTGAAGCCAGCAGAGCGAGAGCGAGAGCTGCACAGTACCTCTTGCTCTGCTGGCTTCACAGCAAAGTGGGAGGAGGGACAGACGGGAGCAAGCAAAGTGAGAGCCGCTTACGTGGCTTCTGTCCCACTTTGTGAAGCTCTCACTTTGCTTGCCCATCCCTCCTCCCACCTTGCTGTAAAGCTTGGTGTCTCCTCCTCCTCCTCCTCTTTTAATGCGAGGCGGGAGCAAAGTGAGAGCTGCACAAAGTGGGGCAGAAGCCACGTAAGCGGCTCTCGCTTTGCTTGCTTTAAAGCAAGAAAAGCGAGAGCCGCTTACATGCTCTGCGCAGAATATTTTTTTTCTTGCTTTCCCCCTCTAAAAACTAGGTGCGTCTTATGGTCAGGTGCATCTTATGGAGCGAAAAATACGGCAGTTATTTTTCTAGGCTGTCCTTCATCCAGTGATCACCAGGTGATTCACGACAATGTATGAAACTTTGTTAAGTCAGGGCATGTTAAACAGAAGAAACCAGTAGTTGGGTTTAGAACTCCAGCTATCATATGCAGCCTCCAACTCAGTTCTCAGGAAGGCCTGAATCAGGGGCTCTTAGCAAACTGAGGAGCAGCAAAGTCAATAACGAGCCAAGTCAGTGACGAGCGCCAAAGCCAGTTCCGAGCGAGTGGGTGAGAGAGAACGAGCCCCCTTCTCAATGCGGCACAGCCTTCTAACACAAGACCACACAGCAAAAAAGGTGCAAAGTCCTATGAATCATTACCTTCCCCTGCTTTTCTCCGAGAGGTTTTCGGGGGACACTCGCGACCCGGGGCGCTGGTGGGGCGCAGACTGGATCTGCACCTCAGGGCTGTAGCGGTTTGAGGCCTTCACCCGGTTCGTGGTGGCGATGGAAGTCGGGGCGGAGGTCTGGAATGTGCTAGTGGGAGTCTGTGGGGATGGCTGCGTAGTAGGTTGGTTGCGGGCAAAATCCTGGGTGATGATTTGCTGCGGGGGAAACGGAAAAGACAAAATGAATTATCAGCAAATAATCTTGCAAAACCAAACCAGCACCTGAGGCAGGAAGCATGTGTGCTTGATTTGCAGACTGCTGTCAAGGGGACCCTAACCCTAACCCTTTAATCATTTTTGTTGTGAATTGTGTAAAAGCAGCGTGTTTTAGAAATTACAAGATGAAGGATGCCCAATTTTTTTTCTACAAAATAAAGCAACTAGCCAGTGTAGACTCAATGTTTACTTGGCTTTGGGGATAAGGAATTTTGTAGAGAATCCCAATTATTATTACAGTGGTGCCCCGCAAGACGAACGCCTCGCAAGACGGAAAACCCGCTAGACGAAAGGGTTTTCCGTTTTGGAGACGCTTCGCAAAACGAATTTCCCTATGGGCTTCCTTCGCAAGACGAAAGCCCATAGGGAAATCTACGGGACAGCTGGGAAGCGCAGCACGTCTTCCCCACTGTCCTCGGACCTCCTCCGAAGCCTGGCGGGGGGGGGGGCGGAGAGACCTCCTCCCGCCGCCAGGCTTCGGAAGGCTGCTCCGAAGCCTGGGGGGGGGGGCGGAGAGGTTTTTTTAAAACCCCGGGACAGCGGAGGACTTCTCCGCTGTCTGGGGCGATTTTAAAATGCTGGCGGGCGGCAGCGCTGTCACCCGCCAGCATTTTAAAATCGCCCCGGACAGCAGAGAAGTCCCCCGCTGTCCCGAGGTTTTTTAAAATGCTGGCGTCTTCCCCGCTGTCCCCGGACATCTTTTGAAGCAAGGGGCGGCAACGCGGAGAAGCGATCTTCTCCCCTCCGCCCCTTGCTTCAAAAGAGGGGACAGAGGGGAAAGCGCGCGCGTCTTCCCCTTTCTCCCCGGACCCCTTTTGAAGCAAGGGGCGGCAAGGCGGAGAAGCGATCTTCTCCCCTCCGCCCCTTGCTTCAAAAGAGGGGACAGAGGGGAAAGCGTGCGCGCCTGCCCCTCTCTCCCCGGACCCCTTTTGAAGCAAGGGGCAGCAACGGGGAGAAGCGATCTTCTCCCCTCCGCCCCTTGCTTCAAAAGAGGGGACAGAGGGGAAAGCGCGCGCGTCTTCCCCTTTCTCCCCGGACCCCTTTTGAAGCAAGGGGCGGCAAGGCGGAGAAGCGATCTTCTCCCCTCCGCCCCTTGCTTCAAAAGAGGGGACAGAGGGGAAGGCGCGCGCGCCTGCCCCTCTCTCCCCGGACCCCTTTTGAACCAAGGGGCAGCAACGGGGAGAAGCGATCTTCTCCCCTCCGCCCCTTGCTTCAAAAGAGGGGACAGAGGGGAAGGCGCGCCTTCCCCTCTGTCCCCGGAGATTGCGGGGGAGGCAACGGGGAGAAGCAATCTTCTCCCCGCTGCCCCTTGCTTTAAAACAGGTCCGGGGACAGAGGGGAAGGCGCACAGCGCTTCCCCTCTGTCCCCGACGGTCTCCTTAGGAACGCATTGATTGATTTTCAATGCATTCCTATGGGAAACTGTGCTTTGCAAGACGAAAAACTCGCAAGACGACAAAACTTGCGGAACGAATTAATTTCGTCTTGCGAGGCACCACTGTATTATTATTATTATTATTATTATTATTATTATTATTATTATTATTATTATTATTATTATTATTGTTGTTGTTGTTGTCTCACCTCCAAAAACACTTCAACAGGTTTGCAAAAGATTCTATGATCAAGAGTGCTGGTAGTGGCGCATGCCTACCCTTCTCAATTACACCCCACAAACCAACTCAGTTCTTGCCCTGATGATGACCAGCAGTTGCTTAGGAAACTGCCTAGGAAAAGCTCAGCATTTACAGGCTGATGATCCACCAAACTCAGCATTCGTCCTGGGAGAAGCTCTCCAGCATTTTGGGAAGGCTGGCTTTCCAAGTCCTACCCAGAGGTGCTGGGGATCAAACCTGGAACCCTCTGCAAGCAAAGTGTGTGCTCCAGCCCTTCCCGTGAAACTAAACCAAGCTTCCAGTCCTCATGGGTCTCAATAGAAAGCTGATTTAAAGCAGGAAGCCGCCTTATACTGAGTCAGACCAGTGGGCCCATTTAGCTAAGTATTCCCAGTACTGACTGGCAGCAGCTCTCCAGTGAGGGTTTCAGGCAGCAGTTTTCTCCAGTCCCTGCCTAGAGATGGGGAGGACTGGAACTGGGACATTCTGCAATCAAAGCAGGGGCCCTACCAGTGAACTACAGCCTCCAGCTAACTATTCCACCCTTGTCTCCATCTAACTATATAACGTCGAGTGAAGAATTCTCTCTGTGCTGTAGATAACCTAAGCGGGTTGCCAGTTTGCTAGTGGGCCAAGTTCAAGGTGCTGCTATTAGTAGATAAAGCCCTTTGCAACTGGGGACCAGTTTCCCTACAAGATGACATCTACACCCACTCAACCGCTTCGATCAGCAGGTCAAGACTACATAATACCCATTCTGCAATCAGTATTTTAGCATGGCAGCGCCTACACTTTGGAACTCCCTGCCTACTGAAATTATGCAGGTGCCACCACTATATCCTTCCTGCTGAATATTTTTTGCTTAGACAAGCCTATCCAGATGCTTAGAAAGCTGGTGTGCATTTTAATTTTAGTCGGTTGTTACTTTTCAAAAGTCTTGAATTACGACTGTTAGTTTTTCTTATGGGTCATTTTTGTTTTATCCTTTATTGTACACCTCTTTGAAGGTTTGTTTCTTTGTTTTTTCAATCAAGCGCTGTACAGATTTGATGAACTGGAACTAGAAATGGACCGTATTAGACAATACAAGTATAAAGGCAACCATGCGAGTTCCTATAAGCAGCGGTGAGAATCGGGGGGTAAACCTCAAATCAGGCACCCCCAAACTCAGCCCTCCAGCTGTTTTGGGGCTGCAGTTCCCATCATCCCTGACCACTGGTCCTGTTAGCTAGGGGTGATGGGAGTTGTAGTCCCAAAACATCTGGAGGGCCGAGTTTGGAGATGCCTGCCTCAGATGAAAGCATCAGGGAAGTTTCCAAAAGAGGTGCTCAAGTACGCAAACCTACACAGATGTGATCGGCCAGGGTGATCAGGCGGTGTGTTCGTGGCACGGGCCCCATCCCTTCGCCCTGCGCAGGTGGTGGAGGAGGTTGCTGCTGTTGCTGCTGCTGTTGCTGTGGCGATGGAGAATCTTGCTGCTGCCTGTAGGAGTGGATTGACCCCTCATACTGACGGCTGCAGTCTCCTAGTTAGAAAAGAAGAAGAGATTCACAATGCAAGAAGAGGAGCCTGTGGTCCTCTATAGGGCTTCTCGGCCTCCACATCCCATCAGCCCTGACGTAGGTAACCAGGAGAGGAACTCATTTGCACTCAGAAAAGATCACTCATAAAATCAGCAGAACGTCCCAATGGCGCTCGGTGGGACTTGATAAGAAACGCTTCAGCTACAGGGCTGCAAGGTTCTCTTTCTGCACTGCAAAAAGAGATACGCAACTCTTAATTGCGAATTACTTGCAAGCTTGTTCCGCCTAGACACATGTACGCATTTTGGCCTGCGACTCTATTCGGTTTTAAGATTTGTCATTTGTTGTTTGTGACCTACGACTCTGAATAAATGAATTTTTAAAAAAACGTCCGCACCCAATTCGCCCTCCCTGCGCGAAGATGCAAGTCAAGAGGCTGCCCCAATCCCGCGCAGTGAGAACTTACGTTCTGCCTGGCTCATTTTGGGGGCTTCCTGTTGATAAGGCAGCATCTTCTCCTGGGGAGGGACCGGCGAGTTTGCGGGGCTGATCACCTCGATGGCGTCTCGGGGGGGCTCGTAGCGGTGGGAGGAGGAAACTACATGGATCAAGGAAGAGAGAGAGACAGAGGTCATTCGTAAGGCCCAACCCTGACCTGCCTCTGGTAGTGTTAGGTCTGCTGGTGTAGAAGTGTGATTCACACTTTGGATGAGAAATGGCTGACTTTGTTTCCCAGGAAAACCCGTATAATTAGGGGTGCAGGTGGGTATCCTGCCTTTGGGGGAGACACTATAGGCCCCTCCCCCTTCTAAATATTTTAGAGAGGAGTCCTGTTTTCTGTCTGTGTTTTAGGTTATGTGTGCAGGTGTTTCGTCTGTTGTTGACAGAGAGAAGAGTTGAGCACCCACTTGTTTTAATTCTGTGAAATGGGTATTTTGTGGTGCTTTAGACCGTTCCTTAGATTTCCATAGGTGTCCTCAGCCCCCCAACCCCAAAAACAGCTTGGGGATCCCCGATTAACCTTTTCATTCATCCATGTTTGAAAGCCTTTCTTCTCAAAGGTGTTTACAAAGTACATTTTGCTGAACCCCTTTCAGGACAGTTTCGTTTAACATGTGATGGGAGGGGGTTCCACAAGGTGGGTGCCACCACCGAGAAGGCCCTCTGCCTAGTTCCCTGTAATCTCACTTCTCACAGCGAGGGAACCACCAGAAGGCCCTCGGAGCTGGATCTCAGTGTCTGGATGAGCGATGGGGGTGGAGATGCTCCTTTAGGGATACTGGGCCGAGGCTGTTTAGGGCTTTAAAGGTCAACACTAACACTTTGAATTGTGCTCGGAAACATCCTGGGAGCCAACATAAATCCTTTAGGACCAGTGTTATATGGCCCTGGTGGCCGCTCCCAGTCACCAGCCTAGCAGCTGCATTCTGGATTAGTTGTAGTTTCCAAGCCACCTTCAAAGGTAGCCCCAAGTAGAGCGCATTGGAGTAGTCGAAGAGGGAAACTGCTACCCTGAATAATACTTTGTAAAGAGGAGGGGGAGTTGGGAGTGGGTTTGAGGGCCATAAAAGTTTGAGAACCACTTGTCCCGGCTAAAAATTGGCTGCTGTTTCTTTAATGCTAAAAGAACTAAGTCAGCATAAGACAGCGGCCTACAATGACTCCTGCAACCTTTCACCAAATTGTACCTGTATATATAGAGTGGTCAATGTTAGTGTTGGGTGTGTGTTGGTTGGATGGTAGAAATCTGGTTGCGTTTGGTGCGTGTAAAAGCTGTCGGTTGTGGTTGGAGAAGAAGACACTTTAAGAATAAAAGCAGCAATACTCTGCAAGAATACTCTTTCTCAAAGACACTTTTGTGCCAACTAAGGTCTGAGGACTAGGCAAAGGAGGTCAGAACCTTTTCTTTTTCAAACACTGATACCCCTGCCCTGCACCTAAATGGGCCAAACCTGTAGCCAGGCTAAGGAGTCCAAAGGAAACTCAGAGGACATACGGCTGCTGGAGGAATCTGAGCTCTGGGAGCCGCGATCGCGGGCGTCCTTGTCGGAGGCAATCTGTCGTGTGATGATCACATCGATGAAGTTGGCCGCCGTGATGGTGGTCTTGCCACGCGTCCGAAGCTCCTCCTCATACTTGGATATGGAAGGCGGGCCCTTGTCCTTCCCGGCGTCCGAGTAGATGGAGGAGGAAGGCTGGGATTTCCCCGAGGAGGAGTAGCTCGACGAGGACGAGGGGTACAGGCCCGGGGGCCCCCTCTTCTCTGCCTCCATCGCCTTCTGCTCCATCTGCTGCTGCTGCTCGCTCACGACCGATCTGCGCCCCGGGTTCTCCTCGATGCGGCTCCCATCGTGCTTGCTGCCCTCTTTGGACTTGGCCACCTCCATCTGGGGAGCGGAAGCGGCAGCATCCACGAGGGCGGCCAGAGCGTCAGCGGCCGTGTTGTAGCGGGAGGTGGGCAAGGCCTGGGTGATGGTGGGAGTGCCAGGGGGGATCTGCCTGTTGGTCGGAACAAAAAGAGGATGGTAACACCTTAGGACATTTTGAGTTATACGGCAAGGGGGGCGCTATCGTCAGCTGTTGGCACAGACCCATAGGGCTGCGTCCAGCTAAGTTCCATCAACTTAAAGGTAAAGGGACCCCCTGATCATTAGGTCCAGTCGTGACTGACTCTGGGGTTGCGGTGCTCATCTCGCTTTACTGGCCGAGGGAGCCGGCGTACAGCTTCCCGGTCATGTGGCCAGCAGGACTAAGCCGCTTCTGGAGAACCAGAGCAGCGCACGGAAATGCCGCAGGGATTCAAACCGCCGACCTTCTGATCAGCAAGTCCTAGGCTCTGTGGTTTAACCCACAGCGCCACCCGCATCCCTCTCCACCAACTTAGCCATATGCATTTGTAGTGGTCATGTAGGATTGCTATGAGGAATTATGAAAAATGAAGCAAGCCATTGTGTCAGCGGGGAAAGCATCGCTTTGACTGGGTTTGAGTCATTGACATGATTTCTGATCAATCCCACAAGCCTCTGCATCTCTATGCCTTTTTCTCTATGCCTGACAGTCATGCACAGACCAGTTGCTTCACCAGGCACCCTGGGTACATAAAAATAAAGAGATAGCTTTGAAGGAGGTAGCTTTGATGTAGCTTTTGTTAATCTTTAGGTAGATCTTAGGGCCAGGAACAGAGTTCACATGGAGGTGGTAAAATGCCTGTCTTTCCTTTTATGACCTCTGGGGTTTGCTAAATGCATTCCTCCTTGGTTCCTGTTTACTTAGCCTCAACATGTATGCATGCTCAAATAGGAAATAGATCTTTGTAGTTAAGAGGCTTCCTCTGATCTGACTTTGTCCCCACGTGGGGATTTCTTGAAATGCTCAGAGGAAATCTGATTGGTTCTTACAAATGCTGTGTTAAAGTTCTTTTGTGAATAAAAACGGCCTGGGCCAGGGAGTGGCAAGCACACTTTCTCCCAAAGGTCTTGCTGGTGAAGCCTCGTGTCTTTTGTATTAATCAGGGTCCAGTCCTTCCTTTGCCTTCAGAAAGCAACATCCATTCATTACAGCGGGCTGACTCTGAGCCCAACTACTGCTGGGTGCAACTCACTGAGTTGGAAGGGACCATAGAGGCCATCCAATCTGACCCCCTGCTTCAGTAAAGGTAAGTCTTGCAACTCCCTGCCCCCCTCGAGAGATTCTTCCTCTCCAGCCTCTGCTTCAAAGATCTCCTGCGGAGGAGAGTGTGCTGGGTGTTCCACGGCTGAAAAGCTCTTCCCATCAGAAATCTTTTCCTAACGTTTCAATAGAATCTTATCCCCTCCAATTTTGAGGGACAGGGAACAGGTTCCCCCAGTCTTCCTCCTGGCAGCCCTTTGAAAGATTTGAAAGGCGGTTGGTCTTCTCCTGCAGCCATTCCTTACAATAACCCCGTCTCCAAGCTCTATCAGCCATAAGGAATTAACACACTTTGTTACAAGCATTGAGCAACTTGGGCTTTGAGGACAGATGTATCCCTTTAAGACAGTGTTTCCCCAAACTCTAGCTGCTTTTGGACTACAATTCCCATCATCCCTGACCACTGGTCGTGCTAGCTAGGGATGATGGGAGTTGTAGTCTAAAAACAGCTGGAGACCCAACTTTGGGGAACTGCTTTAAGAGAAGACTGAGTGCGTCCCTGTTTGCACAGAGCAACCGTCCTGCCTCAGGAGTGCCTGATGCAACTTTGCTTAAACCACGGGGAGTGTCAGTCATGGGCAAACAGGATCCCGGCTGCACAAAAGAATTAAAACGAACGTACATGATGCGCAGCTGTGCGGAGGGGTCCAGTGGGGTGATGACACTCGTCCCGTTTGATCCCTGGAAGATGCTCGGCCGCTGCTGCATGACGCTCTCCTGACTGCGGACTGACGGGGATGGCGAGCGGACGTAGCCGTGGCTTCCTGGCCTTCCTGGCTGCTCAGCACCTGAAGAATATAATAAATATTAGGAATGAAGCAACGTCCCACCCGGCAGTAGAGGAAAAGAACCAGGAGGTTTGAAGAGTCTGAGTCTGAGTCACTGCTTCTAGAGCCACATCCACACTGTACTTTGAAGCACTGCGGTACCACTTTTGTGGCTTCTCCCAAAGGATTCTGGGAGCTGTACAGTGGTACCTTGGTTCCCAAACGTCGAAAACCCAGAAGTGTGTGTTCCGGTTTCCAAACCTTTTTCGGAAGCCCAATGTCTAATGCGACTGCCGGCTATTGTTTCCGGGGCGCCTGTACCAATCAGAATCCCTAGCTAAAGCTTTCTTTAAACCACCTGCCTCCTAGTGACAGAGGAACTCCCTCCCACTAGAAAATTAAAGATTACACACACACACAAATTCGCTTTAGGCTCTGAGGTATCAAAAAGGAGGGGGCAGCAGCAGCTGGAGAAGGCATTCTGGGCACTCACCTGGGCGCAGGTAGAGCTCGCTGGGAACGGCTGCTATCCGCTCCCTCTCTCTCTCTCGCTCTCTTTCACGCTCACGCTCCCTCTCACGCTCCCGTTCCCGCTCCTTTTCCCTCTCGCGCTCCCTCTCCCTCTCAGCGTTGGCTGCGGCAGAGGCTGCCAGATGCGAAGGATGCCCTGGTGAGGAGGAAAAAGAAAAAATGTGGGTTTTGAGGGGTGGGTGGGGAAACAAGACAAGAGGGTCCGTTTGCATAACAAGGCCAGGCGACACAACGCAGCCCGCAGGGGTTTCGCTGCTGTCATGGCTCCCCACAAGGAATCCTGGGAATTGTAGTTTGGAGAGGGTGCCAGAGTCCGCAAGAAATTCTTAAGTCCTCCTGACATCTAGGGTTCCCCTTGCCCCTCATGTTCCTACTGCTAGAAAAAAGCCTAACAGGGCAGGGACGGGATGCCATCTGATAAAAGCTGGCGGAAGTCAGTGGAAAGAGCACGTGGATTTATCTAGAAAAGACACTCCTGGTTTGAAGCTCCCCTAAGAATGCCAAAAGCAGCGAGAGACTCTAAGGGCCAACTCATCCAGCCCACTGCAATGCAGGAATCTCAGAGGGATTTTTGTCAGACTCTCTGCAGCGGGAGAGAGTTAAAAGCTGTGCCCCCAACAATCCTGTTAATATAAACCGCTTTGAGGCTTGATTTAGGCCTTTTAGAAAACAACAAAGCAGCATATGCATTTTATGAAATAAGTAAATGCAGTGGAACCTCGTTTTTCGAGCGTCTCGGAAGCCAAATGATTTGGAACCCAAACGCCAAAAACCGGAAGTAATTGCTTCCGTTTTTGAACGTGCCTCAGAAGTCAAACGGCTTTCGGGGTGCGTTTTTCATTTCCCCCCCCATTGGCTCGTCAACCAGCCCATTGATCCTTGTTTTTTGAACGTTTCGGAAGTCGAACGGTCTTCTGGAACGGATTGCGTTCGAAAACCGAGGTTCCACTGTAATAGTAAATAGTTACGTGACAGGCTAGAAAAGCCCCAAACCTTGTATGTTAAGTGTAATCACGCCATTAGCTTCACAGCTGGTTGATGGCCCTTAAGGAAGTGGGAAGAGGATGGATGGCCTGGAAGCATCCACCAAAGCAGGGAGGCAGGGCACTGGCACAGAAGACATCAAAGGTGGGTGCTGCTGCTAGGTTTTGCATACCCCCCAAAAAAGATTGAGAATCTGACTGATGATGCTGGGTGTGGCAACAGCCTGCCTGGAACTCTGGGGTGGTGGTAGTGGCCAAAGGGCGACAGAGGCCATGGGTTGCCTTCCCCACCAGGGCGGAAGTGTCGGCAGCCCACTGTACTTTCGGGGGAGGGAGGCGTGCCCCCTGCTCTCCCCATCTAGCGGGGAGGCAGCTCTCACCTGGAGACATGGAAGGAGGGTTGTAAGGCCTGGTGGGGAACGCTAGCTGAGTCCCAGGGATGTAGGTAATCCTGTCCATCGGGGGGGTGCTGGGCCCTCCGGGGTGGGGCACCAAGATGGTGGGTGCCATGGTGTTCAAGTCAATGATCCCTAATTAAAAAGGGGGGAGACATAATGGAGATATGCACAAGATCACTCAGGCCAGCAGTCTTCGAGCCGTTTCCGACCAGGGGACCCACCTTTAACCCAAATATGCATTTTGGGGACCCATTTGTTAATTTTCAAAAACCATTTATTTGTAGGATGGGGCTGCCGCTGTTGCGTCAATCAGGCCGTGACCCATCAGTTGAAGAACAAGGACTCTGACCACATAAATACTACCGATACCACATTAAACAGTCATGGCTCCCCCCGCAAAGAATTCTGGGAGCCATGGTTTATGAAGGGTGCCAAGAGTTGCTAGGAGATCCCGATTCCCCCCTTGCAGAGCTACAATTCCCAGAGTTCCCTGTGGGGAGGGGCTGGCCGTTAAACCACTCCCACTCTCGCCCCTGACGTCACACAGAACCCAAGGTGTAGGGCAGGTGGGTGTGGCTTGCCCCAAACAGCCTCACAGAGGTCAAATGGCGAGCCGGATTTGGCCCAAAGGCCGAAGTCTCCCAACCACCCTGCTTTAAAACCTCTGTTTTTAAAGAATGGGTGCACCGAACCCGTTTGCCACCACATCTCCACTGATACCGGACCCCTCAACCTGCTTAAAAACAAACAAACAAGCCCTATGTTCTAAACCTGGGAAGGCTGGGAAAGGGGCGAGGCGTGCAAGAGGTTGCCACCGGTTATCCTCCCTGGAGGAAGCAGACTCACCTCTGGCTCCCGCGTAGGGGAGGGCCAAGGTCTGCTCCCGGGGAGAGAGCCCCCTGGTCAGGTCGGGCCGCAGGTTGACTTGCATCTGCTGGGAGGTGATGTAGTCGTTGAGAATGGTCTGCCGCGTGTTCTCCATGGCATAGAGCTGGTACTGGCTCGGGTAGCCTGGGGTGGGCGAAAGTTGCCTCTGGAACATGTAGGCAGCGGCTGGGCGGGCAGAGAAGGGAGAAAGGGATTGTTTTAAAAAAGGGAAGGTCTGAGTCTGCATTGCGGGGCCCCGCAGGTTCAGATCCCAACGCGGGCCGGTTGCCTGCCTCACAGGGTTGTTGTGAAGATAATAATTAGATGGGGGAGCTGGGCCGGGGGGCAGAGGGAACCATCTGCACCACTTTCTGGAGGAAAAAGGCAGGATCTGCCCATCCACAGCACTGAGCTGCCAGCTTCAAATATGAGAAATGGACGCGTAATAAATTGCTGCCAGGGAACACCACAGTGAAGGTAAGGTAAAGGTAAAGGGACCCCTGACCATTAGGTCCAGTCGTGACCGACTCTGGGGTTGCACACTCATCTCACTCTATAGGCCGAGGGAGCCGGCGTTTGTCCGCAGACAGCTTCCAGGTCATGTGGCCAGCATGACTAAGCCGCTTATGGAGAAACCAGAGCAGTGCACGGAAACGCCGTTTACCTTCCTGCCAGAGCGGTACCTATTTATCTACTTGCACTTTGATGTGCTTTCGAACTGCTAGGTTGGCAGGAGCAGGGACCAAGCAACGGGAGCTCACCCCGTTGCGGGGATTCGAACTGCCGACCTTCTGATCGACCTTCTGATCGGTTTAACCCACAGCGCCACCCACGTCCTTACAGTGAAGGTAGGATGCCGCAATGAACAATAAAACAAAACAGGAACAGTGTTTCCGGGATAAGTCAACTGTTTCAAGGACAAATCTTCATCAGCGAATAAATTCCAAATGAATTGTCCGTTCAGGTACATATAATGATTATAGACCAGAGCTCACTAACTGTGTATCTGAAGAAGTGTGCATGCACACAAAAGCTTATACCAGAACAAACTTAGTTGGTCTATAAGGTGTTATGGGACAATTTTTTATTTTTATTTCGACTGCAGCAGACCAACATGGCTACTTACCTGAATCGAACACTGTTCTGTTCTGTTCCTGTTTCGTTTGCTGTTCATTGCTGCATTCTACACCTTGGAGCATCTATCACTGCAATGTTGGACATTATCTATTGAAAGGCATCCTAACTTCGTCATGGGGTTCCCTGGCAGCAATTCATTACACTTACCATTTCTTGTTTATGGACTTATACATACATTATTTGTGAATGCTTAAGATTTGTAAATTCTGGATTATGATCTAACTAATTATATTATTAGCCATGTGTTGCGGTTGGATTTGAGCAGATTTTTCTGTATTGCAACACAGGGATTTTGTCTTTTGTTACAGCTTCAAATCTGAATCACCTGGTGTCACTCGATGTCAGGTGACTGTGACCTGACTCACTTGTCAAAAGGGGTTGGGGAGGGTGGGCCGGATTGGGACCTGGCCTTTGACCTGAAAGGAAAGCGCCTGAACCATTGCCTTAAAGGCCAAGAAAGCAAAGCAGACGCAAGAGATGGATGTGAAATTTGGGGTGACCCAATGCAAAAATCCTGAGAATCCATGTGGATCCATGCTTTGTAATCACGTTTTTGCGTCACTGCGGCCCCACGCAACAGTGGGTGCGTCATTTGTTTGGTGCAGGCTGTAGCCATGGACATGCTATGTGATCTGATGGTGAATTTGGGGTGACCCAATGCAAAAATCCTGAGGCTCCATGGGCTTTTACCTCCCCCTTCCCAGGCAGCCTCCTGTATCTCTACCGTCCCTTATCTCCCTCCCGATCGCTTACCGATCAGCTGCTTTCTTTCAACACTCCCTTCCCTTAGCTGGAGCAGTTTTTTGCTCCTCCTTTTCTTCTAATTTCTCTCCTCATTGCTTTAGTCTTCCTGTCTCCTCTCCTTGCAAGTTCGCTGTCTTTACCTCCCCCCTCCCAGGCAGCCACCTTTATTGCTAGCATCCCTTATCTCCCTCCCCGATCGCTTGCCAATCAGGGGCTTTGTTTAAACACCCACTTCCATTTTTCAAAAAAAAAGAAGAAGAAAAAAGTACAATCTGCTTTTTGCCCCTGGGCAATTCAGCTCCAGGGACCACGCATTTGCTCCAAAAGACGCAGAGACATTTCCCCTTACTTTTTAGGAAGAAAAAAGTGTGTCTTGTGGAGCAAAAAATACGGTTGATTGATATAATGAAGACAGAAAAAGGAAATCAATAAGTAGCTCAAAAAGGACTGGACGTACTGGGATCCAGCGCCCTGTGGAACTGCATGGCTGGGTCCAAGTGTGATGGGAGGTGGCTCCTGTAGACCTCCGGAGTAGCCCCTCGGTGGTGGGGGTCGAAGGGGCTGTGAGATACGACGGGATCCACCCCGGGGACGGGGGATTTCGCCGGGATGCTCTCCCTCTGTGTTGGCGTCAGGGTGGACTTCCTCTCGTGGTTGGAGGACTTCCCTGAAGAGGGGCCAGGTGCAAATGAAAAGCCAGAGTTAGGAACAGTGCCAAGAATGAAATATTTCAAAATGTAGGTGTTTTGGACCCAAGGAACACATGTGCGAGCTCTTTCCACAGAGTCGGATCTGACTTAAGTGTTCTCTACACTGACTGGCAGCTGCAGCTCTTCCCCTAAAAATAAAGTGAGATCCCTGTCTTCACAGTTCCGAATGAAGGGCTGGCTTAAATAGGAGCACCAGATCAGATCACTGGGCCATTCAGCTCAGGACTGCCCACATTGAGCAGCAGCAAAGGCTCTCCAGGGTTTTAAACAAGGCTCTCGCCCTGCTGAGGAATGAACCTGGGACCTTCAGCATGCAGAACAGATGTTCTACCACGAGCAGTAGCCATTGGCCACCAAGTTGGATGACTTTATAAGAGGAGGAGATAAATTCATGGTGGGGAATTGTCAAGGACCGGTTGGATGCAGAAGAACGGTGGGAAGGCACATAAACTGGTGGAGGGGGAGTGGTCCCTGTTGCTGCAGCTGCTCCAGAGAGCAGAAACCTGGGAATAGCTGCCTAGACCAGGCATAGGCAAACTTGACCCTCTAAATGTTTTGGGACTACAATTCCCATCACCCCTGACCGCTGGGCTTGTTAGCTAGGGATGATGGGAGTTGTAGTCCCAAAGCACCTGGAGGGCCGAGTGTGCCCTAGATTGGTGGGCTCCAGTACCCAGACCTGCAGAAGCAGCTGTGCTACCTCTGACTATTGGCCGGCGCGTTCCTTTGGCTGGAGAGTGCCCTAATGGTCAGTTGCTCCCCCCCATCCCCGGCTGCAGTTTAGGCTTCAAATCCCACCAGCCCTCGGGCCGAGGGAAACTCACCTTCTGACACCCTGTTCATCATGGGGGAACTCCTGGACATGCTCTGGTAGCTCACGGGCGTCCTCCTGGCGTTGGCGTCCTCGTAGATCCCGGGGCTCACTTGCGACTTGGGGGCCTCGTGGAGGGTCGAGCGGAGGACCGAGGTCCCGGAGCTGACCACCGTGTGGCGCTGGCGGACCTCCCCGGAGGACTTGGCCTCCTCGTACTTCCCTCGCTCCGCCGCCTTCACGGTCTCCGTCACCAGCTCCAGCGGAGGCATCCCGCGAGGGAGTTTGCTTGGGCCGGTGATCAAGGACTTGACGTTGTGCTTGATGGCCGACTGGCCGGAGCCGCTCTCATATTTGATGGGCGTCCCCTGGAGGAGGGAAGAGGACGGGGGGCCACAGCGTCAGCTAGGCCTCGGTGGGTCCACAGCTATGGGAAGTCACCTCAGAAACCCCACAGACGCACACGTTTCCCCCCACCTCAATTCTTTTCCATACAAGTCTTTTAAAAGGTAAAGGGACCCCTGACCATTAGGTCCAGTCGTGACCGACTCTGGGGTTGTGGCGCTCATCTCGCTTTATTGGCCGAGGGAGCCGGCGTACAGCTTCCGGGTCATGTGGCCAGCAGGACTAAGCCGCTTCTGGCGAACCAGAGCAGCGCACGGAAACGCCGTTTACCTTCCCGCTATAAAGCGGTCCCTATTTATCTACTTGCACTTTGACGTGCTTTTGAACTGCTAGGTGGGCAGGAGCAGGGACCGAGCAACGGGAGCTCACCCCGTCGCGGGGATTCGAACCGCCGACCTTCTGATCAGCAAGTCCTAGGCTCTCTGGTTTAACCCACAGTGCCACCCACGTCCCTACAAGTCTTTTACCGTTTCTTTATTTCTGTTGCCCTTATGAAGCGAGATACACAAAACAAGATAAAATACACCCCCCAGTTAGAGCTGGACCTCAGGGACCGGGCTGAACGATGGGGGTGGAGATGCTCCTTTAGGTATACAGGACCGAGGCCGTTTAGGGCGAGTAATCAAATAATTATCTAAACCAGGCACGGGGAAGCTTTGCCCCTCCAGATGTTGCTGAACTACAACTCCCATCACCCTGTGCCTGCTGGGGCTGATGGGAGTTGTAGTTCTTCGGTGTCGGCCCTCGGCTTACGGTGAGAAAACACGCCCCTTTCCTTTCTTTTTCAGAGTGCATATGCCCAGCTGCTCTGGTGGGCTTTGACACCTGCCTACCTGAGATATGGAGCCGTCGATCATCGGCCGGGAGCCCTGGACGATCTCTGGGGTCTTGCGGCTCTCTTGGCTCAGCAGGTCCTGCCTGGGGATCTCGTGGATGGAGCGCCCCATCTCCTTGATGGTGGTGACCCCATCGTAGGGCTTCCCCTTGGTGATGGCGCCTTCGAAGCTGCGCAGGGCAGGGGACTCCCTCTTGATCTTCGGGTACTTGAGGCCTTCCTCGTAGCCCTCGGCTGCGGCCCTCGGGGTGCCTTTGGGGGGGGGAAGCAGGGAGAGGAACGGATGCTTCAGAAGAGCTCACACAACCAAACAGCTGAACGTTGGCAGGAGAAAATGCTGTTTTGCTCCCACAAATGCCTCTCGACTGCTCCGTCCCTCCAGAAAGATCTCTTTCCATGAGCCGCAGCTCCAATCCATTTTTAATGAAAGTATTAAGTGGACCGTGTTAAGCAGGGGTTGTTTGTTTTTTAAGTGTTTAATGTCACTTCTTGCAACTGAATCAGCCGCCTGGCCTTGGGCTTGCAAGGTGTGATATGATGCTGAGGTTGGCTCAGCTGTTCTGACATCTGGCCTTCTGAGCCTTGGAGGAAACGCGCTGAATTCTGAAGCCCCTTAGCTACTTGGGGGGCTAAATGAAAGGGGCTGAAATGTAGTCATGCCATGGCCGTTGCGAAAGATGCTTCACAGTATTTAGCCTGGACATTGATTTAGCAGGAAAACTAAGGTAAAGATAAAGGGACCCCTGACCATTAGGTCCAGTCGTGGACGACTCTGGGGTTGCGGCGCTCATCTCGCTTTATTGGCCGAGGGAGCCGGCGTACAGCTTCCGGGTCATGGGGCCAGCATGACTAAGCTGCTTCTGGCGAACCAGAGCAGCGCAAGGAAACGCCGTTTACCTTCCCGCCGGAGCGGTACCTATTTATCCACTTGCACTTTGACATGCTTTCGAACTGCTAGGTTGGCAGGAGCAGGGGCCGAGCAACGGGAGCTCACCCCGTCGCAGGGATTTGAACCACTGACCTTCTGATCGGCAAGCCCTAGGCTCTGTGGTTTAACCCACAGCGCCACCCACGTCCAACAGGAAAACTAGCCATTGATAAATGCACGTTTCTGATCCACTTTATTTACTATCTTTATTTACTACCCACTGTTTATTTACCATCTAGGTATACTGTCATATTGCCTCTTTTCTACAAGTTTCTTTTAATTATATCTCTATCTACGTCAAAAGGTGTATACTGTATATAAATATAAATATAAATATAAATCTTCTGTCTACTGTCTTTATACCTGACCAGGCTCAATTGGTGCACATTGTTTGAATTGTTGGAATACTTCCTTAGTCTTGTCTGTTATACGTTTAATAACCATCATTATATTTATAATCATAAAAAGACTCAATTCATAGAATTGGAAGGGATCTCGAGGGTCATCTAGTATCATAAAAAGACTCAATTCATAGAATTGGAAGGGATCTCGAGGGTCATCTAGTCTTTTGCCCAATGTGGGGCTCGAACCCACAACTCTGCGATTGAGAGTCTCACGCTCTACCATGTTAATACGTGAGATTTGTTTTTCAATACAGTGGTGCCTCGCAAGACGAAATTAATTCGTTCCGCAAGTCTCTTCGTCTTGCGGTTTTTTCGTCTTGCGATGCACGGTTTCCCATAGGAATGCATTGAAAATCAATTAATGCGTTCCTAGGGAAACCGCCTTCAGACCAGGTCCGGGGACAGTCTGTCCCCCGACCTCTTCTGAAGGCTGGGGGGGGGGGGACAAGGGCCTTTCTTCCCACCCCCAGCATTTTAAAAAACCCTGGGACAGCGGAGGACGTCTCCACTGTCCGGGGCGATCTTAAAATGCTGGCGGGCGGCATTTTAAAATCGCCCCGGACAGCGGAGGACTTCTCCGCTGTCCGGGGCGATTTAAAAGCCCCTGGGAAGGCAGGCAGGGGGACAAAGACTTTCGCCCCCTGCCCGCCTTCAGAAGGTGTTCCCGCCCCCCCTCCCCACTTCGGAACTGCTTTCCGAAGTGGGGCGGCTGGGGCAGGTGTCCCCGCCCCCCCTCCCCGCTTCGGAACAGCTTTCCGAAGTGGGGCGGCTGGGGCAGGTGTCCCCGCCCCCCCTCCCCGCTTCGGAACAGCTTTCCGAAGTGGGGCGGCTGGGGCAGGTGTCCCCGCCCCCCCTCCCCGCTTCGGAACAGCTTTCCGAAGTGGGGCGGCTGGGGCAGGTGTCCCCGCCCCCCCTCCCCGCTTCGGAACAGCTTTCCGAAGTGGGGCGGCTGGGGCAGTTGTCCCCGCCCCCCCTCCCCGCTTCGGAACAGCTTTCCGAAGTGGGGCGGCTGGGGCAGATGTCCCCGCCCCCCTCCCCGCTTCGGAACAGCTTTCCGAAGTGGGGCGGCTGGGGCAGGTGTCCCCGCCCCCCCTCCCCACTTCGGAACAGCTTTCCGAAGTGGGGCGGCTGGGGCAGGTGTCCCCACCCCCCCTTCGGAACAGCGTTTTAAAATGCTGGGGGTCGGGAGTGAAGCGCTGCCGACCCCCAGCATTTTAAAATCTCCCCGTGTCCCGGGAAGATTTTAAAATGCTGGGGGTCGGGCTGCCAACCCCCAGCATTTTAAAACCTTCCCGGGACACGGGGAGATTTTAAAATGCAGGGGGTCGGCAGCGCTTCGCTCCCGACCCCCAGCATTTTAAAACCTTCCCGGGACACGGGGAGATTTTAAAATGCAGGGGGTCGGCAGCGCTTCACTCCCGACCCCCAGCATTTTAAAACCTTCCCGGGACACGGGGAGATTTTAAAATGCTGGGGGTCGGCAGCGCTTCGCTCCCGACCCCCAGCATTTTAAAACCTTCCCGGGACACGGGGAGATTTTAAAATGCTGGGGGTCGGCAGCGAACGCTTCGCTCCCGACCCCCAGCATTTTAAAATCTCCCCGGGACAGGGGGAGATTTTAAAATGCTGGGGGTCGGCAGCTAACGCTTCGCTCCCGACCCCCAGCATTTTAAAATCTCCCCGGGACAGAGACTTCTCTGCTGTCCCTTGGAGATTTTAAAATGCTGGGGGTCGGCAGCGAACGCTTCGCTCCCGCCCGCCAGCATTTTAAGATCGCCCCGGGCAGGCGGGGGGAAGGCAGGCGGGGGGGAGCAAAGACTTTTGCCCCCCGCCGGCCTTCAGAAGAGGTCCTCTTCTGAAGGCCGGCTGTGGGCGAAAGTCTTTGCTCCCGACCGCCAGCATTTCCCTATGGGCTTTCGTCTTGTGATGCAAGCCCATAGGAAAATTCGTCTTGCGAAGCGCCTCCAAAACAGAAAACCCTTTCGTCTTGCGGGTTTTCCGTCTTGCGAGGCATTCGTCTTGCGGGGTACCACTGTAAATAGCTGGATCAGAACCCAGATTGGTGGAGTTGAAGAGCTTTTAAGCTCCTCCCTCCCCACCCCAAAAGCCCAGGGGGAGACCCACCTTGCATTATAGAGCCCGACAGCACAGTCCTCTCTTTCAGGTCCGAGTGGGGGCTGCCCCGAGGAAGAGCGCGGCAGATTAACCCTGAAAAAGACGGATGGGGACTTAAGACGGGTGCAAAACCACACTGTTCCTCTCCCAAATGACACATGCCATTTCACGTTACGAGAGTGGCATGTTCATACAATAAAATACATAGACATCAAGCATGCACAAAAGTTTATACATCTCCAGCCGAACATCTCTTCCAGTATGATCACATCTAACGCGTGTGTAATTTTGTTTGGTTTCAACCATATGTGGTCGATGGCCAGTTGGTTGAAATACCGTGAGTTAAATGCAAGAAGGTGGGGACAGGGCCGGATTTAGGTTTGATAAGGCCCTAAGCTACTGAAGGTAAGGGGGCCCTTTCTATGTCCAGCTGTCCTTTGCCGCTTTTTGTGTGTTGATTATATGCTATATGGTAATTTATGGACCTAAAAGGTACAGGTAAAGGGACTCCTGACCGTTAAGTCCAGTCGCGGACGACTCTGGGGTTGCGCGCTCATCTTGCTCTTTAGGCCGAGGGAGCCAGCGTTTGTCCACAGACAGCTTCCGGATCATGTGGCCAGCATGGCTAAGCCGCTTCTGGCGAAACCAGAGCAGCGCATGTAAACGCCGTTTACCTTCCCGCCGGAGTGATATCCGTTTATCTACTTGCCTTTTTGGGGCATGCTTTCAAACTGCTAGGTTGGCAAGAGCTGGGACAGAGGAGCGGGAGCTCACCCCGTCGCGGGGATTCAAACCGCCGACCTTCTGATCAGCAAGCCCATGGCTCAGTGGTTTGGCCAATAGGTATCTAAAGCCATTTGTGCATGTTGCCATGCAACCAGTCCATGCAGAATGTTTTAGGGATCAGGCTAGCAGGCAGGGCCCATTACTTACATCATAGGAGCCTACACAACACAGAACACTGTTGCTGTACGTAGGTTTTATTTTATTTGTTTTTTATCATATATTTTCGAAATGTACATCCAGGGTTTTTTTCCTTTAATTTTTTTTGGGCCCCCCCAAGAGAGTAGGGCCCTAAGCTACAGCTTGTTTAGCTTATAAGTAAATCTGGCCCTGGGTGGGGAGCTTAAAAGCTCTTTTTGCAGCAGGTTTTAAGCCCTCTGCCTTGCTTTGCGGGGGGCAAGGCCCTCGTGGCAGACCGAATCTGGGATGCTCTTCTTGTGCAATCTTGTGGGGCCCTGGTCTGCTGGCTCGCACAGGGACAGCTTGAACACATGCACTGTTGCGTACATTCATCACTGTCAAAGCATGACCCCCACATAAGATGCAATCATACTATACCTCGCTTGCAAGCTTTCTAACCATACAACTGGCCGGCGGGATGAACCCTTATCTCCCCACCCATCCACAAGTCATACCTGACAGGTGTATAGGGTTACCCTCCTGCGAACCACCTAACAGTGTGTTTCTCAACCTAGAGTCCCCAGTTGTTGTTGGACTACAGCTCCCATCAACCTTGACCACTGGTCCTGCTAGCTAGAGATGGTGGGAGCTGTAGTCCAACAACAGCTGGGGGATCCAAAGTTGAGAAATGCTGCCCTGACGTCACAGAGGGGTCTTTTTTGGTGATGCTCTCAAGACACACACTATCTGTACCAGGTTGTAATGAAAAGATTAGGGTCGGCAAACTAAGGACCCTGGGCCGGATGAGGCCCACCTGGGTCCTAAATCTGGCCCGTGCTGTGAAACCGGAACCCAACGCAAAGCCGAGACTCCCGGCGATGGCAACAAAAGGAAGAGGCCGAGCGGTGGCGTTTGATTGGCAGAGACGTCCCTGCGCCGCGCTGAGGTAAACCAGGTGCGGCGTTTGATTGGTAGAGCCGCTGCCACTCAGCCTCTTCCTCCTGTCGCCATCACCGCCCTGGTGCTCCTGTGGGCCAGAGAGCTTCTCCGTCCCGCCACAAGGTCTGAGGGACAGTGGACTAGCCCGTGGCTAAATTTTTTTGCCAACCCCTGGGGCAGGTTTTAAGCATCTGAAGAGAAAGAAAAAGCGCCACGTGGCAGGGCTCCCACCTTCTAACGGTGCGGAGACAGGAGATTCCCTCATCGACATCCCTTGCTTGATGTTGCCTTCCATAGCATCGTACGTCCGCTTCAGCCCCATCTCGTGAGCGGTCCGTGGGCTCCGGGTTCCTTCGCGGACATTCTTGATTGCTGTCAAAAATGCAGAAACGTGGGTCAGGACACCAGCAGAAACAATATGGGGAGGGATATTGAAGTGGCTCTTTTGTTGCCATGTAGTGCCACTCCAAAAAGTGACACTTAGCTGTTAGATTCGCCCATCAAGTCAAGACTGGTCAACTAGTGTTACCCCCCCCCCATCAATGCTCAGTAACTAGAACTGTTTCTTTTTATTTCCTACAACTTTTGTTAAATTTTCTGTTTTACATTTTAGAATATCCATTTAAACCTTAAAATATCAGTGACTTCCCTTCTTCTCTCACCACAGTTTGCATGACATAAATCCCTGCATATTTTATACAAACTAAACCATCCAGTATTCTATTATTACATCCATCGAAACTTATTTACACTGCTGAATTTATCTTAATGCTGCTCACGTTTTCAAGTGTACACAATTTCCCCCCATATATTCAATAAACATTTTCTGATCTTCTTTAAACGTTCGTTCTTCTTGTTCTCTTATTCTTTAAGTCCACGAGCTGTGCATATTCCATCAGTTTAAGTTGCCATTCTTCTTTAGTTGGGACTTCGCTCGTTTTCCATTTGTGGGCTAACGAAAAACAGGCCGCAGTAGTGGCACACATAAATAACCTTTTTTGACACCTGGGAATTTCTCCCAGGTAGCACTGTGTTTTTGAAGCTTGGATCCCCAGCCGGGGTTGGACTACAACTCCCATCAGGGATGGGGTGATGTAAGTTGTGGTCCTACAGCAGCTGGAGACCTGAGTTTGAGAAACACCGGACCAGCATCACCGCTCTTCAGTCGTGGGACGTCTTGTGCCAGACACCAATGGCACCCTGAGCTCGAGACTTACCGTCGTAGGTTATTATGTGCCCACTCTTGCCCTCGTAGATGACGTGGCCCTTGGAAGAGGCAGCTTCTTCCCGGCACTTCTCCGGGCTGCTGTCCTCCGTGGCCAAGCGAGTGATGGTTCCCTTTAGCAGCACGTCAGCTGCAATCCCCGACTGCGACAGAGCTGGCGTCCCCTGCAATGAAAGCGAAGGGAGCTAGGAACTCGGGCCAAGCCAGGCTCTGGAAATGGAAACAGAGGAAGCCGCCTCCTCTAGAACGATCGCTCTCCAGGACAGGCTCTGGCTCTCACAGACTCGATTAGACAGTGGCTGAATGTTTTGGGCTGTTTCACTGAAGTGGGAAACTTGAGCATATGGAGTCACGTGGTGGCCGCAAAGAGAGTTTAATTGTTGAGCGATTGGGCTAGGTGGGTGTTGTGCGTTTACTTTGTTTTGTGTAGTGCAGGCTTTCCCAAAGTTGGGTCTCCAGCTGTTTTGGTTTTTTTTGGACTACAATTCCCATCATCTCTGGTCACTGGTCCTGTTAGCTAGGGATGATGGGAGTTGTAGTCCAAAAATGGCTGGAGACCCGTTTGTGTAGTGTGAATGTGCATCTGAAGGATTTGGGTTTAGGGTTTTGTTTAGGGAAGCTTTTAATGTTTGATGCATTACTGTATTTTAATATTGTGTTGGAAGCCACCCAGAGTGGCTGGGAAAACCCAGCCAGATGGGCGGGGTATAAATAATAAATTATTATTATTATTATTATTATTATTATTATTATTATTATTATTAATTGTATTAGTACACGTGAGGGTTGTTTTGTTGTGGTGTTTATTTATTGAGCTTTTCATCTATACTGTTTTTAATATTGCGTTTGAATGTTTTGTATAGGATTTGCTTTTACAGGCGCCATTTCGAGATATTTATCGTTGCTTAATTCTGCTACTTAAAATGTGGAAACAGCAACAGCAGCAAAATATTATTGTTTCTTCTACTTTCATAACCAGACAGGGGGCCTCCCCTGGTTCTATGTCAAGACGCCAGGGACTAAACCCCAGGGTGTGGGGTGAGGGTGAGGCCTTCTTCCCGCAAATCATGAAAACCCAAGTGATGGTTTCGAAACTGCCCCCCTCCCTTGGGTCCATCAAGGTCACAAGACAGGAGATACCTGAGTGATGGAGCCTCGCAAGGTCGGCATGGATTCAACAGAAACCTTGCTGGCTGGGGTCCCTCGAGTTATGCTTCCTTCTTGGAGGGTCACCGCCGTACCTGGTTGAGCGTACAGATTCAATGCCACTCATACAAACGCAGCACACCCAAACATGCACCCAGAACTATTTTGTCCTAAGTATCTCCCTCCCTCCCTCTCTATACAGTGGTACCTCGAGTTACCAACGCCTCAGGTTACAAACTCCGCTAACCTGGAAGAGTTACCTCGAGTTGTTGGGGGTGGGTGTTGCTCCCACTGCTGACCCACTTGAGACCCCAGAGAGGACTTGTAAAACAGCGGAGTCCTCCGTCCGTTCCGACAGCACAGTGAAGAAGCCCCCACCGTTCTTCATGACTCGTTGAAGGAGGGAGGGAGGGGGGAGATGGGTAGGTGGGCTGATTCTGGCCCTTTGGGAGCCAACAGCTTGTGGGGAAACGGAGGGTCTGAGGCTGTGTGTTTGTCTTTGTGTTTGTGTGCATGTGTATATGTGTTGCTGGTGTTAAGTGATTGTCGATTCTTATTTTATGCTACAGGGGGTGGGGGCGCTTACTCATTAGCACCCAGGACAATCTGCTAAATCCCTCATTCTTCCCCACCTTCTGCCACCCCAAATCTCTTGCAATTGTGTTCCTAAAGTGGGTGGGACACCCTACATCTCCCTGCTGCCGCCACACCATCCCCCCCAAGAAAAACCCCCAATCATGCCAGGGGATAATTTTCTCCTGACACCAGTCAGTATATTTTCAGAATCATTGTGTCATTGGTCAAGGGGTTGGGGTGGGGAAGAGTGGCTGTATGTGACCCTCCCCCTCTTGGCTCTACCCCATCCCTTCCGTTATCTTCCCCACCCCGACCCCCAAGTTTACCCTGGTATGCATCAGAAAATGCTACCTCGAGATGAGAACTTTGCCCCAGGATGAGAATGGAAATCGTGTGCCGGCGGCGCAGGCAGCAAGCCCATAGAGGCCCCATTAGAGAAAGCACGCCTCTAGTTAAGTACAGTTTCAGGTTAAGAACGGACCTTCGGAACGAATTGAGTTCGTAACTAGAGGTACCACCGTAACCCCTTTTCACCCAAAACGAAGCGGATCCCCAGTCCTGCAACTTGGCCTTCCTTCTTGTTAGGGGCTGAGGTTTACCCACCCTTTATGACAAGCATGTGATTTGTCAATTTGCAAAGCTGGAAGGAACCCCAAAGGCTGCCTAGTCCAACCCCCAACTTAAGCAGGAAATCCCCTCCTGTGGCATCTCTGCTAGGTGGCTCATTCAGCGTAAAGCATCTCCTGCCGGCCGAAGCAGCAGATCTCAGACAGCTTACCCCGAACCACTCCCTCATGCTGGGCTCTGACCAAGAGGCCCTCGGGCTGCGAGTTTTGGCTCCTGGGAGAGAATTCTTCTTGTTTGATGTACGGCATGGAAGCTTTTAAAGGGAAGAAAGGAAACGGACGTATGAGGTTTCTAGCCAGCATTTGGAACACACATGCTTTTCAAACTCGCAAAAATTGCAAGCAATATATAACGGGCTGTTTCCAGGCCTTTATAAACAGGTGCGGGGACTCAAGCAGCCGTGCCTTCCAAGCTAGGAACGCTACCGGCACCCTTAAAAAAAATTTCAGAAATGTATACGGCAACAAAGACCACCCTAGGACACACAGGGCACTTGCTCATTAATTATCACATCACCTTTTCAAGCAAAAAATAATAATAGGAGCCAGTTTAGTGTAGTGTCAGATGAGGACCTGAGGAGAAAGGGAGGGCAAAAAGTAAACAGTTACTCTATGTGGTGGCAATGTAAAATTATTAAAAAGGCCTGGGGAAAGACATATAAAAATTTGAAGAGAATGTTGAAAATGATTGTTGTTTAAAAAACTGAAGTTTTGATATTGAGATGTACAGGACTTGATGGACTCATAGAGCGAAAGACTTTGTCCCTGTATTTGAGAGTGGATGGCAGGCCAAGACCGGCCCATCCCTACGGAAGGAAGAAGCCTCCGCCAAAGAAGATTGGCAAAACAAATTATTGAACTATGCAGGGCATATTAGATCATTTAAACCCAAGAAAGAAAGAGGACTTTGAATTTTGGGGTTTTTCCCCTTTAAAAAAGGGCAAATGTTTAATGCACATTCCTTAAGCTTTGTGTATAGATTTCTACATTAGTATAACTTTTAAAAGTCACTTGTAGTAAGATGAAGAAGGTTTTAAAATTGGACTGTTAAGAATATAAGGTTTTATGGGCGTGCATGAACAAGGACACAACAATGGAGCCAAGAGGGGGAGTGGAGGGAAGTCAAGCCAAAAAATATGGTGTTTTTCTTTTCTTTTTTTTGTTATTATAAAATCAATAAATTGCTTATATATATATATATATATATAAAAGACTAGGACCTGGGAGACGAAGGTTCAAATTCCCACTCGGTTATGAAGCTCACTGGGTGCGACCTTGGGGGCCAGTCACTGCCTCTGAGTCTACCTCACAAAGTTGTTGGGGTGATTAAATGAGGAAGGGGATGCATGTGGGGAAACCCACAAGCAGCACCCGAGCCCAAGAGCCCTCTCCCCTCCTGCGGTTTCCATCAAAAGCATCAGTGCCTCTAGTTCTGGAAGCAGAGCAGAGCATGGAACAGATTGCTGGACTGTAGGCGTCCTGGGCCTGATCCTGCAGGGCTGCTCCCCTGTTCACACGTTCCAAAGACAGGTTTTGACTCACGGCTGGCCACATGGGGACCATTCTCAGAACATACGGACGACAGCCAGGGAATTATGAGTGGGATCCATTCACAAGAAAACAGTGGGTTCCCTCTCCCCCACTTCACACCAGAGACTGGAGCAGAAACTAGATCTCTCCCGCTCCACAGCATCACTTACCTGGTTTGGCAGATTCCTGTTGCCTGGGCAGCCCTAGGGAGATGGATCCCACAGAGGGCTTAGGTGGTTCTTGACTGTAAGACGTCTGGCTGTGGGACGTTAAGTAAGTGCCCGGTGTCCCCTGGAAGTCGGAAGGGGAGAGAAGCAAAAATGTGGTGTTAATTCAGTTCGAAGCCAGCGCAGAGCGGATCACGCTGTTGGTTGGTATGCAGAAACAAGAGCGGAACTGAACATTCTCGGTGGCTCCTCTAAGAGTCTAGAACTCCTTCCGCAGACAAGCCAGGCTGGCTCCATCATTGCTTTGGGGGGACTGGCTGTTTTTAATGGAAAGGGTTTTTAATAGTGCTGTGCTGCTTTAACTATCTGCCTTTTAACAGACGTGTTTTTACATTGCTTTTATTTTGTTAGAGCTCTGTTGCACTTTAACTGCGATCCTTTTTAGGTTTTTGCATTTCCTCCCCTGTCTTGTTCTGATTTGCGTCAGCTACTCAAGCCCTGGCCTGAGAAAAAAAGCAACATATACCATATTTTTTACTCTAGAAGACTCACTTTTCCCCTCCTAAAAAGTAAGGGGAAATGTGTGTGCATCCTATGGAGCGAATGCACGCTGCGCAGCTATCCCAGAAGCCAGAACAACAAGAGGGATCGCTGCTTTCGCTGCACAGCGATCCCCCTTGCTGTTCTGCCTTCTGGGATTCAGAATATTTTTTTTCTTCGTTTTCCTCCTCCAAAAACTAGGTGCGTCTTATGGTCTGGTGCGTCTTATACAGTGAAAAATACGGTAAATAATGCAACAGCAGCAGCCACACTGACCAACCGCATCCTGCCCTGCCATGGAACAGCTGCATGCACGCTTGCGCAAAATCGTTCACGCGCACACACCAGGCTTCCGCATCCTGGTGCCTTCTGGATGTTTTTGCACAATGCAACAGAAAAGGGCTGTTCTCCAAGTATCTCTTGCAGAGGGCAGAGAGAGCAGGGCCTCAGATGCTGATCGTGGAGTCTGAGGAGTGGACTGGAATCAGGTACAGGGGAGCAACTTCGCACTGCAACATTTTGCTGCAGAGGTCCCACTTGGCATTCGCTCGACAGAAGAAACGGGAAGCAAGGGCTGCAACGGACCTCCTTTGTTGCTTTTTGCGTATCACCATTTACCGTATTTTTCGCTCTATAAGACGCACTTTCCCCCTCCTAAAAAGGGGAAATGTGTGTGTGTCTTATGGGGCGAATGCAGGCGGGAGGCTCTGCTCAGCGCTCCCTTAAGAGACGAAAGGAGTATGTGTGCGGCTCTTGGGGGCTTTTCCATGAGGAGGGAGAAAGGGCTGTGTGCTCTTTAAAAGGAGCGCGGCTCTTAGGGGAGCCTTAGCCGCGCGCAGCCTCCCCCCGGGCAGGGGGATGAAGGCTCCCCTTGCCCAGGGAGAGGCTGCGTGCAGCTATCCCATAAGCCAGGACAGCCAGCGGGATCGCTGCGCAACGATCCCGCTAACTGCCCTGGCTTATGGGATTCAGAATAATTTTTTTCTTGTTTTGCTCTTCCAAAAACTAGGTGCATCTTATGGTCTGGTGCGTCTTATAGAGCGAAAAATGCGGTCTATTTTTCTGGTGCAAATGTCTGCCTTTGCTTTATTGTTTTGTAAAGGTATACTGTGTGTAATTTGCAATTCCCGTTTTTAACTTTTGATTATGTGTAGGAAGATTTGACAGTAGTGCTAGGAAAACAACGACGTTTGTTGAAAGATGACTATCATAATGCCCTGGATGTGCAGCGGGAAGAAATCCTCCATATAGAGGAGCTGCGCAACGATCCCGCTTGCTGTCCTGGCTTCTGGGATCCAGAATATTATTTTTCTTGTTTTCCTCTTCCAAAAACTAGGTGCGCCTTATGGTCTGGTGCATCTTATAGAGCGAAAAATACGGTAAGCCCCCTGTTCTACAGGGTAAGGCTAGCAGTCTCCCCAGTATATGGCATGTTACTATATGAGACCCTTTAATACAAAGTAGTTGGTCATCCCCCCGGCCTTACTTGAGAGATGGACCCTCCCATGATGAAAGAAGGCTTCTCCGATGACACCACTGTTTTGGAGGATGGGATCAGGGGGGGCGGCGGCCTGGTGGGCCGTGTGGTTGGGGGCCGGACCCCTTCAGTTAGGTTGCTAATGACTTGATGAGGAGCAGGTTGGAGGACTTGGAAAGAGGGGAGGGAGAGAGAAGGGAAAGGCCTCCGTAAGTAACAGGGTGAATAATCTGCATCATTTTTAAAGAAAGCTAACAAATATCAGAACTGAACGATGAGCCGCGCTCTGTACGCTTTCCAAGTTTCTAGCCATAGTCAAAAAGCTTCGACTTAACAAGTTTTCATCTGTAGAAATCTGTTTTAATTTGCAGTTTTTAAGCTTCGAGAGTGCCTGCGATTTGTCTGAAAACCCAAATCGCAGGAAGTGAAATTGTGCATTCAAAAACTACGCTCAAAGCCCAACGCTATGCTTGTTTAGTAAAAGGAAATTCTCGCTAAACTGAATGGGGCTGAGCCCCTATCAGCGTCAGCAGGATCACGGGACACTGCCTTATGCAGAGTCAAGTCCTCAGCTCAGGATTGCCTGCTACACTGACTGGCAGCAGCTCTCTAGGGTTTCAGGTAGGGGTCTCCCCCAGTTCTACCTGGAGACGCCAGGAACTGAACCCAGGACCGTCTGCATTCAAAGCGTTCAGCTGTGGTCCTTCCTCCTTCCCTGTCACCAATTAGTATATTACAATTCTATCCATGTCTTAAATTATGTTTTTCAGATTATTTATCAACTGGTGTTATGGCATTTCATTTTGCAAGCTGCCTTGAGACATGTCACAAAAGTATGAATCCTAAATATTCAAGTGAGTGCAACAAAAAACAAGAAATCGAATCTTTTAGTGTGGAATCACTTACACTCCCAATTCTATGCCTATTGACATCAGGCTGGCAGGCACTCTTTCTGAAGCCTAATAAAAACATTTTTGTTTCCGCTATCCTGCCCAGATACATAGAATGCTTACATATGCCTGAATCTGGTTTTCAGGTTAGAGCTGATTTTAATCATTTTGGTGGGTATTTTAAATTATTTTATTATTTTATTGATTTATTTAATTTATATACCGCCCTATACCTGGAGGTCTCAGGGCGGTTCACAGAATATATCAAAATATAAAACCACAAAATACATAATCAAAATAAAAACAACAACCCAATAACCCCCATCCAATAACCCTTCAAATGGTTGTTTTTAACTGGTTAGCTCAGAGCATGGGAACTAGATGATCCTCCCAACTCTAGCATTCTATCATTTACTGGTAATTTCACTGTTTTATTAATTCTTTGGGGTATGATGATGATGATGATGATGATGATGATGATAATAATAATAATAATTTTAAATTAAAAAAAACAGGCTCCAAGAACCCAATCATCAACAAACGCACCCCTAACTACCCTGATCCTCCCAGCAAGCAAATGGGGGGGCACAGTTGGCTGGGCCAAAAAATACCTGGGGGGACGCTGTAGCGAGCGGCGTTCATGTCAGGCTGTGGGGAGACCTTGCTGACCTCCCTCGGAGACAGGCGGTAAGGCGAGGCTGACCTCACCACCGTGCTCTGCATGTGGGCCTCCTGCTCCATGGCTCGCTTGACGTCGGCGTAAGGCATGTAGGCAACGGACTTCCCTGTGGAAAGGAAAGCAGCACAAGTCAGGCTGGGGATTGCAGAGACCGCAGGCAAACTAGACTAGAGGACCCCTCCGTTTTTATTCCAAGCATCAGGGGGTGTCACCCAAAGGAGCCACGAAAGGTCCGGAGGGTGGCAACACGAGAACAGGGCTTTTTCTGTGGTGGCTCCCCATTTGCAGAACACTCTCCCCAGGGAGAAGTGTGGGGTGATGGAACCTGGAACCCTGAGCATGCAAGGCTCTACCATTGAGCTACATCATAGATCTGTACAAATTATGGAAAAGGAGAAAAGGAAGAACAGGGGGCTACCCCGCTATCTCATAATACACTGGTACCTTCCTTGTCAAACTTAATCCGTTCTGGGAGTCCGTTTGACTCCTGAAACGGTTTGAAAACCAAGGCGCAGCTTCCGATTGGCTGCAGGAGCTTCCTGCACTCAATCGGAAGCCGCGGAAACCGTGTCGGACGTTCGGCTTCTGAAAAACGTTCGCAAACCAGAACACTCATTTCCGGGTTAGCGGAGTTCGGGAGCCAAAACGTCCGAGCACCAAGAGGTTCAAGAACCAAGGTATGAGTATACTAAAATTTGATGGGGAAAGAGTGCAGCTCAGTGGTAGAACATCTGCTTTGCACACAGAAAATCCCAGGTTCGCTCCCCGACATCTCCAGGGAGGGCTAGGAACGTCCCACCTGGTCTGAAACCCTGGATGGCCTCTGCCAGTCAGAGTAGGCATCACTGAGCTAGGCAGCCCATTGGTCTGACTCCGTACCAGGCAGCTTCCTAATGAAATCAGAATCATGAGGAACGGAACCTTGTTTTGTTTTACGGGACAGGACTGTAGCTCTCCTGGGGTTCGACCCAAGAAATCTCTAGGCAGCGCTGAGAACGCACACCCTGTCTGAAACCCTGGGAAGCTGCGCAGGCCAGGGCTGACGGTCACCGCAGCTCAGCAACCTCTGGGGGGTGGAAGACTGGAGAAGGGCGCAGGAGACGGGACGAGGGTGGAAGGGTTGCGGGCTCCACCTACCGTCCCACTCGACGTTTGGGCTCTTGGACGGGCCGCAGGGGCTGCCTGGCCTCCGGCAATCCACCTCCATGGTCTCCTGCCTCTGCCGCTCTTCCAACATGGTGGACTTGTGCATGGCCTTGATGTGCTGCTGGAAGAGGGTATAGCCACTCATGGGGAGCCCCTGCAGAGGAGAAGAGACCTGCAGAGAAGCAGGAGGGGGAAGGAAACAGACGCGGCTCATTTCATGAAATCTGAACGACACTCGATTGTCAAAAAGAAAAGGAAAAAGGGCTCAAAACGGATTTGGGAGGACATCGGAAGCCACCCATTCATTGTAAGGAGAGCTTCCAACAGCTTAATCATAATTTTATTGTATTATTATTCATATGCCGTCCAAATGACTGGGTTTCCCCAGCCACTCTGGGCGGTTCCCGACAAAACATAAAGAACAACCATTAAGAACTGACCAGTGCAAGGCTGCCTTCAGATGTCTTCTAAAAGTAAAATATTTATCTCTTTGATAACTGATGGGAGGGTGTTCCACAGGGTGCCACCACTGAGAAAGCCCTCTGCCTGGTTCCCTGTAACCTCACTTCTCACAGGGAGGGAAGCGCCAGAAGGCCCTCTGCGCTGGACCTCAGTGTCCGGGCTGAACGATGGGGGTGGAGACGCTCCTTCAGGTCTACTGGGCCGAAGCCGTTTAGGGCTCTAAAGATCAGCACCAACACTTTGAATTGTGCTCGGAAACGTACTGGGAGCCAATGTAGATCCTTTAGGACCGGTGTTATATGGTCCCAGTGGCCGCTCGCAGTGACCAGTCTTGCTGCTGCATTCTGGATTAGTTTTAGTTTCCAAGTCACCTTCAAAGGTAGTCCAAGCGGGAGATAACCAGAGCATGCACCATTCTGGCGAGACAGTCCGCAGGCAGGGAGGGTCTTCACTGGAGTACCAGGTGGAGCAGGTAAACAGCTGCCCTGGACACAGAATTAACCTGCACTTCTACGGACAGCTGTGAGTCCAAAATGATTCCCAGACTGCGCACCTGGTCCTTCAGGGACACAGTTACCCCATTCAGGACCAGGGAGTCCCCCACAATTGCCCGCTCCCTGCCCACCAGAAACAGTACTTCCGTCTTATCAGGATTCAACTTGGAGGACATCTGCACGGAGCCAATCAGAAGCCATGTATTCATCAAAAGGAGAGCTTCCAGGATTGAGCCTGGATTTTCGAGGCCCAAATTGCCTGGCAATGCAAAAAGGGAAAGGACCCCTGGACAGTTAAGTCCAATCAAAGGCGACTATGGGGTTGTGGCGCTCATCTCGCTTCAGGTCGAGGAAGCAGGCGTTTGACCACAGACAGCTTTCCGGGTCATTTGGCCAGCAGAACTAAACTGCTTCTGGCACAACAGGACACCAGAGCGCATGGAAACACCGTTTACCTTCCCACCACAGTGGTACCTATTTATCTACTTGCTCTGGTGTGCTTTCGAACTGCTAGGTTGGCAGAACCTGGGACAAAGCAACAGGAGCTCACTCCGTCATGGGGATTTGAACCACTGACCTTCCAATCAGCAAGCCCAAGAGGCTCAGTGGTTTAGACCACAGCGCCACCCGCTTCCCTCTGCCTGGCAAAACATCTAATGTGGGACTGGTTTGATTGGAAGCCTTCCTGCTCCCTAAGGTCCAGGCGCTGCTGTACTTCCAAGCTCCCTTTGACCCAAACCACTGCCCATGTTGCCAGGAATGATGGGTACCCCTCTGCTGAGCTAGGGGCCTTCCTGGTCCAGGGGATCCCTAGCGCTGTACGGATCGTACCATGGGTGGTATCACAGCCGCCCGGTGCTGAAGCTGCTGCAAGTCCATCGGCACTTGTTTTATCGCAGATGACACAAGGAGAGGCCCGGTGGGATTCAACAGGGAAGGCTTCGAGTCCATCGTAAACATTCTGGATGGGGAAGGAAATGATATCAGAACACACGCCGGGGGAACGGGACTATTGCATGTGCAGAAAAAATAACACGAAAAACTGAGAACAGTGAAGGGAGGCAAGAAAGCGGATTAGGTTTATCCTGGAGTAACTGCACTATTTAATGTTAACACTTGGGGCTGTTGCTGCCCCTGCTTACGTTGCTCACCAACCCCGCCAGCTGGCAGGCACATGAACTGCAGCATGATGATTTTTTCCCCTTACACAAATAGGAAGATAAAGGATAATGGCAGAGCATCACCAACTCAATAGGCTATTATTTGGAAATTGGAACAGCTTGATCTGTTTAGGGCAGGACTCGTTTAAACCAAAAAGAATGAAAAAGGCAAATGCAGACAATTACATAAGGCAGAGTCTTCAACTGACTGACGTACCTAATTGTTTTTTAAATGCTGTATTTGTTGTGCAGCAATTATTGGTTTTGCTGTAAATTATGAAACCAATGATTTGGGTTTTTTGAAAGAGAGAACTTGCTGAGGAAAGAAAAAGAAAGGGGGAAATGAATGATCCATCGACGTGCAGCGTAGCATAGTGGTTAGAGTGTTGCATTCTAAGCAACAGTCCCCACTAGGCCATGAAGCTCCGTGGGTGACCTTGTGGTCACTCTCAGCCTAACAGGGTTTGCTGTGAGGATTAAATGGGGAGAAAGAAAACTATGTATGCCACCTTGAGCTCCTTGTAGGAATGGTAGGATAAAAACAGGGTACCATTAATTAAGTAATAATATGACTAAAAACAGGACTGCCATACATTCAGATTTTCCTGGAACTGATGACTGGGGGGAATATCTGAAAGGTGGCACCTTGTCCTGGAGTGTTATTTTGGTGTTTTTTGTAAATAATAATAAAAAAAAAGTTCAACAACTTTCGGGGTAGCAACCCTAACTCAAAAGAAAAAGGGAAATGACTTCTGGGTAGCTGATTGCAGCAGGCTGGTCTGGGACTTTTATGGACCAACAGCGGAGATTCTTCCCCCGGCCCCTCCATTGGCTAGAAGGGAAAGTTCTCTGCAATACTCTTGGTAAGAAGAAAAAAATGGAAACAGAGCAACTCAATAGCTTTGACATTTAACACCCTGTCCAGGGCAAGCCCAACTAAGACCGTTCCACGGGTGGCTTCCAAGCCAACCCTGAGCGGGAGAGAGGAAACTTTCCATTACACCGAGAGGGGCCGGGTGTATCGCAGACGGCACTGAAACCCTGGAGAGGAAGGCGGAAGGAAACAACTGGAGATGGTTCCCCGGACAGCACACAAACTCCCCACGCTGTGCAAGAGCAGTCTGCACACTCTCAGCAGCAGAAAAACTGTGGGGCCAACACCACCGAGACTTGAGTGTTAGGAGCGACAGGGTTGCTTTTTTCAGCCCAGCCCAGCCTTGCATTTAAACAACTCACCTGGCTGAAATGGGCAACCAAGGAATTCTGTGCAGGGGAGATCACAGAGATATGTGCAGATGGCGAGGCTGGAAGAGGGATGGATAGCTCCACTCTTCACCCCTGGCCAGACTGGATTCTGTGTTTTAGGGGCAGGAAACCGAGAATGATTGGGGGGGGGAGAAGGGCTAGCAAGCCAATTTCCAGGCTAGCAAGAGGGGAAGGAGCACCCTCCTGCTACATGGCTTGGCTGGGAAAACGCCGTGTCCCTCTACATCTTAGAATCTCGGAATTGTAGAGTTGGAAGGGACCCAAAGGGACATCTAGTCCAACCCCCTGCAAACCAGGAATCACAGCTAATGAATTCCTGACAGGTGGCCATCTAACCTCTGGGTGTGACTGTCCCAAGGTCGCCCAGTGAGCTTCATGGCCCAGTGGGAATTTGAATCCTGGTCTCCCAGGTCCTCCTAGTCCAGCACTACACCACACTGGCTCTCACTATTTCGTGGTGCCTGCAACAGCTTCCTAGATTTCCAAATGGGCCCTCCCCCTTCCCACAGGGCCCAAGTAGATTGGGTACTCCTGGCCTAAACACATACACAAAATTATGGGGATCCTTAGCTTCATTTGAAGGAGGCCTGTGGCTAAAAGGAGTCTTGGACTAAAAAAAAAACCCCTTGTCTCTAAATCAGGGTTGAGGAACTTTTTGGGCTCCACAGGCCAGACAGATCCTTCTCAGATCCTAAGCATGTAGGTCACATTTGACAGGTGTGAGGGGCTGTGGAGCTGCCAGCCGCCCAATGTTGCAATGCTGTGAGGTGAGTGGATGCTTTGAAGGCCCAAAAGTGGGTCTTCCAAGCACCGTGCAGGATTTGCAGAGAGTGCTACGTGGCGCATTAAAGAGACCTGAGGCTTCAGCGATACCTCCGAAAGCACAATGGGGAGTGCATTTGCTTGAGCGCTGCCAGACGTGCCTCTACCTGCCCCACACCTGACATCACATACGATGTCAGGTGTGGGGCAGTGATTTCCTGAGCCAAGGCTAAATCTGAACCTCTGGCAGGTCAGGCTTGGCACATAGGATGGAGGAGACCAAGCCCTACTCTAAATTGGGAACATACTGCATTGCTCGCCTGTCCAACTTAGGTGGACAAGACCGCAAAGCAGGTGTTACACAGCGGGCCAGAACGGCTCCTCATCTGGCCACAATCAGTAGCACCAATTCTTTGTGAAAACTCTCCAGCCTTCGACCGGAGGGCGGACCTTTTTACCTCTGCCTGTCGGGTTCTCCGTCCACGTCCTCGTCGGCACTACAAGTGGCGCTGGAGTCATTGTCCGAGGTGGGCTCCATCCTCTGGGCGCTAGCCTCCTGGGCCAAGCCAAAGTCCATGCCTTCCGGCTCCGTCTTCTCCTTGGCCATCATCTCCTCTTCCCTTTCTTTGGCATCGCTCTCCGTCTTCACCTGGACGTCTTCCGGAAGCCTCGCTTCGGGCTCCGGGGGCTCCACCTTGGGGTTTGCGGGGAGGACAGGCTTGGTGTCCGCAAGCTGGCTCCCGCTCTCGGCCTCCATGGATTCCTCCGCCTCGGCCCCCGCCTCTTCCTTCACCTGCAGCTCAGGGCTCTCGCTCTCGGCTACCGGCTTGGCGTTCTGGGCTGCCGAGGGAGGGGAGGCCCCGGGCGCTGTTTTCACGGGGGGCTCCTGCTCCGCTGCCTCGGCGGTCGTCATCCTAGAAGTGGAAGAGACGCTCTCGGGAGGGGCCTCCTCCATGGGCTTGGCAGCCTCCGCCGGCGAAGGAGACGGCGCGCTCTCGGTGTCGGAGCTATTTTCAGCACCTGCAAAGGCATTAAGTCGGGTGTAAGCATCCGAACGGTAATTAAGGAGCTTTAACGGGATGCCAGACGATTACCGCTTAGCGGCGCCGGGCAACGCACTCTCAAAAGAGGAGAGCTGGCACCTCACAGACCTCAGGCCTCTGGTCAATGGGGTGGGGTCAGTGACTTTTCTCTAGAAAAATAGGTGCCATGTCAGGGATGTGGGTGGTGCTGCAGGGATGTGGGTGGTGCTGTCAGGGACGCGGGTGGTGCTGTGGTCTAAACCAGAGAGCCTAGGGTTTGCTGATCAGAAGGTCGGCAGTTTGAATCCCCGTGACGGGGTGAGCTCCCATTGCTCAGTCCCTGCTCCTGTCAACCTAGCAGTTCGAAAGCACATCAAAGTGCAAGTAGATAAATAGGTACCGTTCCGGCAGGAAGGTAAACGGCGTTTCCGTGTGCTGCTCTGGTTTGCCAGAAGTGGCTTAGTCATGCTGGCCACATGACCCGGAAGCTGTACGCCGGCTCCCTCGGCCAATAAAGCGAGATGAGCGCCGCAACCCCAGAGTCGGCCACGACTGGACCTAATGGTCAGGGGACCCTTTACCTTTACCTTAGTCACCATGAAGCTGTTATAGCAAGTGCCACAGTTTTTAACAACAATGGAAAGTGGTTCCGGTACTGTGTGCCCTTGAGTACCCCCGGGGAAAAAAGCACTGGAGGGGGATGGACATTGTCAATTGACTCTGTGCTCTTGCAACTGAACCAAACCAGACCACAGCAGCTACCCTACCCAAGGTGATGAAAACTCAGCCCTCCCTCTGCCTGACCCCCGAATATCCCAGCTCGATCACCGAGATCACCCACAGGAGTGTCGTTAATGATTCCCCCAGGTGGGGAGGCTCATTTGAGAACAAGAAACCGAGCCTTGGGTGTCATTGGCCCTGTCCTGTGGAACACTCTGCTACTAGAGATTCGACAGGCACCCTCTGCGCCAACTTTTAAATGCCTGCTTAAAACATTTTGGTATTCTGCCAAATGCCCAGGTTAAGAATACATCCATCCAAGTGGTTAATTGATGCCTGTTTTTAAGCTCTTTATGGCTTTATTATAAGGTTTCGCTTTTTTTTTTTGTAAACCGCTATCATTTTTTTTAAAGGTACAGTGGTATACAAGTATTTTCATAAATGAATAATAATAATAACCCTGGTTTGTGGAGTATCCTGCTCTGGTCTTCGCTACTGCAACCTTCTCTACTTTTTGCACTCCGGAGGTGAGGAACCTGGACCCCTTCAGACAGTGTTGAGCTACAGCTCCCATCATGACTTACTACTGGCCACTCTGGCTGGGACCAATGGGAGTTGGAGTACAACAGCAGCAGGAGTGGGGGTTGATGGGAGTCCAGAAACAGGGAGCGCCGGGACAGGAGCCTATGGGCACTCCCAAGGCTCATGGACTACAACTCCCATCATCCCATTCAGCTTGTTTCCCGATCGAAAGGGAAGCGAAACCTGCAAATCCAGCTGGGATTTTGAGGGCCAATAGTTACCTTCGCTGTCTTCTGGATTCTCTTCCTCGTTGGACGCTTCGATGTCCTCGTCCTCCTGCGCGGAGACGGTCGATGCCACGCTTTCGGACTGTGAGACTTCGCGCTCCTCGCGGGGCCTTCGAGAAGACTAAGAAAGGCAGAAAAATAAGGGGAAGGTGGTTACTCAAATATATATATATGGGTGCAGACAGACAGACAAGACACAAACACACACACACACACATGGCTCATTGGTTAGGCTAGATTCTTCCCAGCTCTATGGTTCCTCCCAACTCTGTAGTTTTAACCCCTTAACCCAGCACCAAACCCAGAACAGTCTCCTGACTACATCACAAGGGCTTCTTCACACACTACATTTTGGGTGGGGTCTACAGTCAAGATCTTAGGGTTTTGGTTTTTTTAAAAAAGCATACACTCAAATATAAAAGGTTAGATCCAACCAAGTGCTATTGAAATTTAATTGCGCTAAGTTAGTTGCGCTCATTTATTTCACGTACAGTGCAAGGCAGCTTCCTATGTTCCCATTTGAACCACTTCATCATGAGGACTAGAACCCTACTTTGCTTTTAGAGGGGAGGGACCGCAGCTCTCTGTCAGGGGCCCTGCTCTGCATGCGGAAGGTCCCAGGATCGATCCCTGGCACCTCCTAGAGAGGGCTGGGAGAGACCCTCCCTGTGTGAAACTCTGGAGAACTGCTGCCAGTCAGTGTGGACAATACTGAGCTAGAGGGACCGATGGCTCTGACTCAAGATGAGGAAGGCCCACGAGGAGAGGCAGGACTGGGATGTGGAGATATGTTTCAGAGATCCAGACTGTGGGGACCCCCGAAAAATTAATAATTATAATTTGGACTAGAATTTGTTCCTTTTTATTTTAGTTTTTTATTTTAATTGGAGTATTATGATTGGATATATTAATTGGATGTTTTTTATTGGCAAATCAATAAAAATGATTAAAAAAATAATGAGGAAGGACCTCTCTTGAACCTGGCTCTGGTTTCCCAAGCCAGACGGAAAACATCCCTGCCCTTGCCCGCACGCTCCTTGCCCCCGCCTCAGCGCTTGACCCAAGGCTGACCAATATCTGAAGGGCTGCCACCAGACCCGATGGCTTCAGACTGCAAGGAGAGAGATTCTGACTAAACATCAGGAAGAACTGTCTGAGGCCAAGAGTTGTTCGACGGCCCAAACAGGCTCCCTCGGAAGATGGTGAAATCTCTTTCAGTGGAGGTTTCCAAGCAGAGGTTGGGTGTCAGAGATTCTCTAGCTGTGATTCCTGCATTGCAGGGGGTTGGACTAGATAGTAGTAGTAATAATAATAATAATAATAATAATAATAATAATAATAATAATAATATTTTATTTATATCCCACCCTCTGGGCTCAGAGTGGCTAACAACAGTAAAATAATACAGCAAAATAAGGTTAGAATGTGTTAAGATAATTATAGGATAGAAAACAGAGGAAGATGGAAAGGAATTGCTGAAATAATTAATTGATGTGGAATACAAAAAGGGAGGTGTGAGGAAGTCGTGGAAATAAGCGAACGAAAAAATATGACATTGAAATTGTTTAATGCGTTGTAAATGGCTTTTGTTTTGTTCTATTTGTCTTATGTGTTAGTGCTTTGTAGTGTTTTTGTACTGTACTGTGTTGTTTTTTCGTTTGTTTTTTTTCTTTTTGCTTTTTTGTTTGTAGTGTTTAAATTTTTGGAAACTCAATAAATATTATTTTTTTTAAAAAAATAATAATACTACAGCATTCTAAAATTAATTCATTATAAAATCAGTTCAAATCAAATCAATATCAACCACTGGGCTAGAGTTATGGGAGGATTACCAAAGGAGGGGGTCAGGCTGTGCCTTGGCCAAAGGCCTGGTGGAACAGCTCTGTCTTGCAGGCCCTGTGGAAAGATGTCAAGTCCCGCAGGGCCCTGGTCTCTTGTGACAGAGCGTTCCACCAGGTCGGGGCCACAGCCGAAAAGGCCCTGGCTCTAGTTGAGGCCAGCCTAACCTCCCTGTGGCCCGGGACCTCCAAGATGTTTTTGTTTGAAGAACGTAAGGTCCTCCGTGGGACATACCGGGAGAGGCGGTCCCATAGGTACGAGGGTCCTAGGCTGTATAGGGCTTTAAAGGTTAAAACCAGCACCTTAAACCTGATCCTGTACTCCACCGGAAGCCAGTGCTGCTGGTAAAGCACCGGGTGAATGTGGTCTCACAGTGAGGACCCCTTAGGGACCCCTAAGAGATGGCCCTTGGTGTCCCTTCCAACTTTACAGTTCTGCGATTCTGTGACCCCCCCCCCACTCCTTCTCCTGCTCACTTTCTGCTTGTACTGCTGAAGGAGGCTGTCGAGGTTGTGTCTCCTCTTGTAGTTGAAGTAGAAGTTTTTGCACTGGGCCTCGCTCTTCGTTCCCACCATCTTGGCAATGGCTGCCCAGTTGCGCCCGTGTTCCACTAACCCTGTCGGAAGCAGAAGAGAGACAGTTGTTGGTTTTTGTTTTTTAAAAAAAGGAATCATAACCGCAAAAATCTCTGGCTTTCAAAACTGCGTTGGAGGGGTGGGGGGGTGGGAGCACTGAGGTTGGTCAAAGAGAAGATTGCGATTTATTTACAAGACACCTCTGGGCTTTTTCCCCATCAAGGTCTACACAAAGGTTTCTTTGCTTCAAAAAACAGCAACACAGCCCAGGATGCAGGCCTACCAACCTGCAGCCTTTCAGATTTTGATTTAATTAAAATATGCATAGATTGCCATTCATGAAAGCAGATATCAGAGCAATTTGCTGTGGTATAAAAGTATGACGAGTTTAGCGTGAGCTGGGGGGGGGGGAATTACATGTTGCCAAAGTTTTTGGAGGACCCTGAAAAATTCTATGCTGTTTGGCGGGATTTTATCTTACAGACCACAAATTAAGATGCACAGGACTCCCCACTCCACAGAGGGAGTGGTGCTCAAACCCACAAGGCTGAGATTCTGAGAGACTCTATCGACTGAGCTATCTTTCAGCATGGAACACCTGTGCTCAAGAGACCGGCGCCGACTGCCAAGCTGCTTCCAGGCCAAGTTCAAGGTGTTACTTACTATTAGTCTATTAAGTCTTTAACAACTTGGGACCGGTTTACCTACGAGATCACCTGACCCCACACAGGCCACACAGCTGCTCTGATCTGCAGGACTGGCACTGTTACAAGCGCCGCATAATACCCTTTCCACATTTGAAGGAATTCTATCTTTTAGCGTGGCGGCACCTGCAGTCTGGAACCCCTTGCCTATTGACGTCAGGCAGCTGTACTCTTTTCCGCACCTGCTAAAAACGTTTATGTTCAAACAAGCTCACCAACGTATGCAGAATGTCCATGTGTATTTTAATCTGTTTTTAGCTTATTTCACCTTCTGAATGTTTTATACAGTGGTATCTCGGGATACGAACGGGATCCGTTCCGGAGTCCCGTTCGCATCCTGAAGCGAACGCAACCTGCGTCTGCGCGTGAGCAGGTCGCGATTTGCTGCGTTTGCGCATGCGCATGATGCCATTTTGAGCGTCTGTGCGAGCGGCGAAACCCGGAAGTAACGTGCTCCGTTACTTCTGGGTCGCCGCGGAGCGTAACCTGAAAACACTCAACCTGAAGCATATTTCACCCGAGGTATGACTGTAGAGCTGTTTTTTATTACCTGTTACCTTTTACTGATAATTACCTTTTACCGATAATTTTATCGTTTTCTTCTCTCTGTAAACTGAGCATTTTATTTTTAATAAAGCAGTTAAAACCAAGCGGCGTGAGCATTAAAATAAATAAATAAATGACCCCACGGGAAGCTCTGGATGCAGATTAATTATCCCGCTGAGGAGTCAGGGTGCAGGAATGAATCCGCAGAGGGCCGCACGATTCCCATACTCCTTCCAGGAAGACAAGAGCGTTGGACAAACCACCAAGGAGGACACCTGAGGCTGGCAATTCTCTCCTCTGAAGATGAGAATTAGCCTCCTTTCCCACACAGCGAAACTGACAGGCTCAGAGGCGGCTTTGGGAGGGAGGAAGAGAAGAGGGGGGAAGAGCACGACTCTTTTAAGGTCATTCCATGTCAGCGCCAAGAATAAAAGGGGGAAAAACTCAGCTCTCTTGACCCCGCAGCGCCGAGAGCTTATCTACTGGATCGTGCAGTCTCCCTGGTTGACATAACCTAATTCTCCCTGGGCTGTAAAGCTGCTAAACCTCCCCCCACAAAACCCCAACCGGTATTAAGCATAGAGAGAGAGGGAGATGGTGGGAGCAAAACAGAGCTAAGAGACCTTTCCAGGTGAAAATGATAGAAAAAGACTCCTCAGGCAGGAACTGATCCTCTTTCTACAGAACCAAAACTTTTTGGGTTATCCTACGAATAACAAAACTGGTGTCTCCGTGCTGATAGGGGTGGAGAGAGAGAATGAGTCCGGGATGAAACAGCGACTCAGTATATTCAGGGGGGAAACAAGATGCTTGCAGAAGGAGAAGCCAAAAAAAAAGTAATTTAAAAATCTTCAAAGCCAATCCAAAGGGGGAAAACCCCACCCCCTAAAAAAGCAGTCCAACAGGGACCACAAGGATGCGCAGTAATTGCTAGGAATCATCTGGAAGACAGGGAAAAGAGGATTGGAGAAGGTGTGGCTGGAGCCCCGAGCAGACCAAGGTCCACATCCCCAGGTGGGCAACATTCTGAGGGCCACATGCCAGGGGTGGGCGTGGCCAAAGGTGGGCGGGGCAAAGGATGGGGCTCTCTTACCATTCTGCAGCCACCTCCATTCCAGCCATGCAAAAGTCTCCGCAGATGGGCACCGCTAAACACCTCTCACAAGCAAAGAGGCGTAATTGTGGTTCATGGAAGCAGTGTGGCCAGGTGCTGTGGGTTGGGGACAGTCCCAAGGATCAGGTAGAGGGACCTGGAGGACCAAATTCATCCCCCGCCTCTGGGAGTGGGGGGCTTGAGGTTCTCCACCTGCCATGTCAGGACCGGAGATATACCGCAACACTTTGTTGCAGTCCCCACTTGTCTAGATACAAATGCCCCTGAGCCACATTCAGGTGTTTCCTGGGGCCCTTTCAGTTGGAGGTGCCAGCAAGTGAACAGCAAGAGCAGGTGCCCTAAACTGTTTATTATTATTATCGTGGACCGACAATGGTGATTTGTATTATTAGTCTGTATTATATCCCACTTTTCCTGCATAAAAGAGCTCGAGGGAGGACCCATGGTTCTTCCTCTCCCCCTTCCCCCCCCCACAACATCCCTGTGAGGTAGAGCTCCGGCTGAGAGGCAAGTGGCGGTTGCACCCAGTGAGCTTCACGGCAGAGTGGGGACTCGAATCTAGCCTGACACCCTAACCACTACGCCACACTGCCTCTCTCCAACTCGACCGGCACGTTTTTAACGTTCTCCCTCCCACACAGGACCCAAACCTCTCTCTTCACCCACATATAAGTATCTGGCAAGAAGTCACCTCTGGTATCTGATTACAAGGGAGTTCCTACTTTATACAACTCAGAACATCTGCCGATTTAAGCCTCAAAGGTTTGCAAGAAGCGTTCAGAATGGCAATGCACCCAAGGCCACCAAGGTGTGTCAACACAGAGGTTTTCAGCTCTGGTAATGTCAAGAGTGGCCTTTATTGCTGCAAGGCAACCAGCTTCATAAAACTGAAATGTTGATGCCCGGAACAGCCTAATCTCCTCAGCGTTTTAGAGGGCTAACCAAACACCATGAGTTGGTTTGGGGAAGAAGATCTTCAGAGACAGTCCCATCGCAGGCCGGATCTCCGTTAACGGACAGCTGCATATTCCTGCATTGGACTAGATGATCCTCAGGGTCCCTTCCTACTCTATCTTTCTTTTCTAGTCTGTTTCATCCGGTTCAGGGAATTATTTGAAAATGACAAACTCTGCATTCTGAAGCCAGGAGGGGCCTCAGGTCAGTGGCAGAGCACCCGGCTTTGCATGAGAAGGTTCCAGGGATCTACAGGCCTCTCTGCATCTCTAGGTAGGGCTGAGTCTGAAACCCTGGAGAGCTGCTGCCCGCCAGTGCTAACAACATTGATCTGAATGGATCAATGGTCTGATTATTTTTTTTTAAAAAAAAGGTTCCTGGCTGTTGCAAAAAGGTTTAACAACACTGAAGAATCTCTTTGCATTGTACAAGACACACTTGCCCAATCTTCAATAAAACACTTCCTTGAGAAAGAAAAAGGTGCTTTTACCTTTTTTCGCAACTTCCATCTCTTCTTCCGTCCAGCGGGATGTCTCCACCGGCTCTGCCGAAGCTGAAACAGAGCAAGGAGAGAGAGAGAGAGAGAGAGAGAGGCGGGAGAGCCCCGTCAGATGGCGAAAGGGCCAAGACTTGCGGTTTCAGCGTAATCTATTAATCTGTTTACATTAAGGCCTGCTGAGGCCATTCGGGAACCATGCCCACTGACAGCAGGAGAGAGTCGGTTCCTATTACATCAAAAAGCAAGGGGCAGAGGGAGGGAGGAAGAGGAAGAGAGATCCCTTGCGAGCGCCAGTGAAGGGCAGAAAGAGAGAACTCCTCTGCGAGTGCAATCGAAGGGGAGAGAGGGAGGACATGAGATCCCCTGTGAGTGCAAGGGGAGGAGAAAAAGAAGGCGCACTGGGAGGGGGGGTGCCAGGGTGCAAGAGGAGGTTTTCTCCTTAAGCACCTCTTTATCAAAGAGCCCACGCAAAACATTTTTGAGTTCGTGAGACTGAAAATCCGCACGAGGCTGGCTGCTGGAACAGGCCCAGCGCTGGGTTCTCGCAAGGGCCCTAAGAATCTAGGAACCTGGATAGACTGCCACTGGACCTGGAAGTTCCATAAGAACGTAAGAAAAGTCCTGCTGGATCAGGACTCCTACAGCGGAGGACGAAGCGTTAAAATGGAGATGTGGGAAATATGGAAACAACGAGGAGAAGCAGGACTAAGGTGTGGAGATATGCTTCAGAGATCCAGACCGTGGGGAGCACCGAGAAATCAATACCGTATTTTTCGCTCTATAAGACGCACCAGACCATAAGACGCACCTAGTTTTTGGAGGAGGAAAACAAGAAAAAAAATATTCTGAATCCCAGAAGCCAGAACAGCAAGAGGGATCTGGCTTCTGGGATAGCCTCTTGCTGTTCTGGCTTCTGGGATAGCCGCGTGAAGCCTCTTCAGGGCAGCGGGATGAAGGCTCCCCCTGCCCGGAAGAGGCTGTGCCAGAAGCCAGGACAGCAAGCGGGGCTCCGTTCCTCCTCCTGCTTCGTTGAAGGGGCGCTGCGCAGCTCTCCCTCTCTGCGCAGCGCCATTTGCTCCATAAGACGCACTCACATTTCCCCTTACCTTTTAGGAGGAAAGAAGTGCGTCTTATGGAGCAAAAAATACGGTAAATACAATTTGGACTATAGTTTGATCTTTTTTATTTTAATTGAAGTATTATGATTGGATATTTAATTAGATGTTTTTTATTGGAAAATCAATAAAAATGATTTATGTAAACAAAAAGGAGTCCTACAGTGGAGGGGAGAACATAAGGCTGATGAATTTGTCTAATTGTCTATGAAAGCCAGCTAAGTTGGTATTCACCACTGCCTCCTGTGGGAGGGAGTTCCATAGATTAACTCTGTGCTGCATGAAGAAGGGCTTTCTTCCTGAATCTTCCAGCATTCAGCTTCATCGAATGACACCACTTTGGGTCACTGTTTTTTTGGGTCACACACACATCCAACTTGCGACAACAGGAAGCTTAAACACGTTTGGGGTGTTTTTGCATAGGAAAGGGCATCTGTGATGTATTTCCCTTCCAATTTACAATTTATAAACCAGAATCCTTCCAATATAGCTAAGAAGAGATCCCACAAAATGGCAATGTATTTATAATGGACTAGATTTTCAATACTGACGGCTGCCTGGATTCTTCTCGTCTCTTTACAGACGAATAAATGGGCGACCTCCTGAGCACAGAATGACAGGGCGTCATCCTTTTCTTTGAGGGAAATAACTGTGGAGAGCTTTTATTCGCTACGGGGAGCCACGGACCGGAATCAACAGTCCCGAGGCCATTGTAAAGAGGGAAGTATTCACTGAATTTCTTAAGCGCATCAAGGCCACCGACACCACGTCTCCACAGATGGAGTGACCTCGTTCGCTTTTTTTTATTGGCCTGCTGTTCTTAAAATTAGGACAAGACAGACAAGGCAGACCCTCGTGCATAAAATAAAACTTTCAGAGCACATCTGCATGGAAAGCATTTAGACAATGAAGGAAGCAAAGTGGGGAGAGGCATTTTAAAATAACTTTTGTCTGTTGCTATCTGAAGGTCTGAGTTCTGTTTCTCTTAGCTTACAGTTAGGGAGGCGAATTATTTTCTTAGTTTTTTCATTTTGAGCTTATTTATTGCATTTATATTCTACCTTTCCCCACCCCCAGGAGCTCAAGGTGGTGTACAAAGTTCTCCACCACCAACACCCATATTATCCCCACAACAACCCTCTGAGGTAGGGAAGGCTGAGAGAGAGGCAGCTTTGTGGCTGAGTGATGATGTGAATCCTGGTGCCCCAGGTCCTAGTTCGACACTCTAACTGCTGTGCCATTAATCATTTTTGTATTATGGGGCAGGTACTATGCAGCTCAGTGGTTCAGAGCGCTTGCTTTGCATTAAGAATAAGAATAATTTATTATTTACTATTTATACCCCGCCCATCTGGCTGGGTTTCCCCAACCACTCTGGGTGCCTTCCAACAGAACACTAAAATACAATAACCTATTAAACATTAAAAGCTCCTCTAAACAGGGCTGCCTTCAGATGTCTTCTAAAAGTTTGGTAGTTATTTTTCTCTTTGACATCTGGTGGGAGGGCGTTCCACAGGGCGGGCGCCACCACCGAGAAGGCCCTCTGCCTGGTTCCCAGTATCTTGGCTTCTCGCAGCGAGGGAACCGCCAGAAGGCCCTCGGCGCTGGACCTCAGTGTCCGGGCTGAACGATGGAAGTGGAGATGAAGAATGCCCCAGGCTGAATCCCCACCACCTCCAGGTAAAAAAGAGAGGATGAGATGCTTCCCTGTGTGAGACTCTGGAGCGCTGCTGCCAGCCAGAGCAGACAGTATTGTGCTAGATGAGCAATGAGTCTGACCTGGCAGAAAGCAGTCTCCTCTGTTGCCAAGGGAGGGGCCATAAGGAGCTGCCCAGAGTGGCTGGGGCAACACAGTCAGATGGACAGGGTACAAATAATAAAACTGTTGTTGTTGTTGTTTAGTTCAGAGCAGTTTCAGTCCCCAAGGTAAGGCTGTAGGAGAGACTCCCTGCCCCAAACCCTGAACAGTTGCTGCTAAAAGGACAAATTCTTGGCTCGGCATTTACACCGGTTTCTTATTCTTATTCTTACAACGTGTTGCTGGCTTTATCTTGCCTAAGGTCACCCACCCACCAACAAAACCCACACGGATGCATTAAAACCAAGCAGGGGAAAATACATTAAATACATCCTGCCCCCTTCTAAAAGGCCGCTCACCCTGTTCTGAACAAAGGGCTGGTTTAAACAGAGGAAGCTGCCTCTTGCAGAGTCAGACTGTTGGCCCCTCTAGCTCAGTGTTGTTGGGCACTGGCCGGCAGCAGCTGGCCAGTCCCGCCGTGGATCGAACCCAGGAATGTCTACCTGCAAAGCAAGGGGCTCTGCCACTTCCACAACGAGTGGCAAATTTTAATTTCCTTTCGTTTTGCGTTCGGAAGGGAGAACAGGTCCTTGGCAGAGCACTTAGGCATTTGGGGGCATTTTGTTAGCTGAATCCAAGACCGGTGAAAACATAGTGCCTTCCATTGCGCTTGAGGGCAGGAGGCTAACATGGCAGGTACAGGGCAGACCACATTTTAGGGAAGCTTTTAATGTTTGATGTATTACGGTATTTTAATATTTTGTTGGAAGTCACCCAGAGTGGCTGGGGAAGCCCAACCAGTTGGGCGGGGTTTTATTTATTTATTTATTTAGGCACTCGCAGGTCCGCCCACTCCCCGCACCTCAGCATCTGCCGCCTGAGGCAGCTGCCTCACTCTGCCTCATCACAGGGCTGGCCCTGCCCTGCCCGCCAACTGTACTCACAAGGTTCTGGCGGCGGAGGCAGTGGCGGTGGTGGCTCCTCGGTGGCGGCAGCCGCCGCGGCATTAGCCGCCGCGGCCTCGTTCGTCATCGACCTGGTGATCCGGCCCTTCCTCCGGCCCTGGCTGTTGGCCGTCTTCCGGCCTCGCGGGGCCACCTGCTCCCTTTCCTCAGGCTCTTCGGGAACAACTTCAACCTTGTCCTTCTCTTTGATATTCTCCCTGAGAGGGGAAAAGAAAGGGGGCGAGAGGAATGAAACCCAGAACTGTGAAGCGACTGCATGGAAGACGGGGGTCCCTTCTCCCCTCAAAGTGCCAATGGATGCCTCCAAGGCGGCTGCCATTTTACAGGGGGGAATCAATTTATTATTTTATTTCAAACAATTTATATACAGCTGGACTGTAAAAACAACACCAACACCCTCCTCAAAGGGGTTATTGTCAATAATTATTATTTAATTTCCACGATGCCTAACTGGTGTCAGTTTCTAACTTTTTAAAGGTCTTTCTTGGGATAGTTTTATGTTTGTACTGCTGCAAACGACATATATACCAATGACACAGTGGTATACAACTACTTTTGTAAAGATGTTTTTCATAAAATAGATAAATGAGTCATTCATGGCCTTTTACCTACGTCTCAAGTCAAGTTACAAACAGACCACAGGAAAAGCTGAAGAGTTTTAAGCACAGTACAGTGGTACCTCTGGTTGCAAACAAGATCCGTTCCGGAACCCCGTTCGCAACCTGAAGAGAACGCAACCCGCGTCTGCGCATGCGCGGGTCGCAATTCGCCGCTTCTGCGCATGACGTCATTTTGCGTGTCTGTGCATGCGCAAGCGGCGAAACCTGGAAGTAACCCTTTCCGGTACTTCCGGGTCGCCGCAGGATGCAACCTGAAAAGACGTAACCTGAAGCAAATGTAAGAAGAGGTATGACTGTAGAGCAGTGTTTCCCAACCTTTTTTGGGCAAAGGCACACTTGTTTCATGAAAAAAATCTCGAGGCACACCACCATTAGAAGATGTTTAAAAAATTAACTCTGTGCCTATATTGACTATATATAAAGTAACTCTCTTTAATAGGAATCAAATAAACACAAAGAAAGTATTTTATAATTACTTTATTATGAAATAGTAAGTAAACAGAAATATGAAAAATTATAAAATACTTTATTCAGTGCGCAACCTGGGCCTGTTTGGCTGAACACAAAGCTGATATTCTGGCTGGAATTGAAGAAAGACACACACGTAGCTCTTTGTCAACAGCTCTCAGTCTCTCTCTGTATTTAGTTTTTATAGCAAATGAAGGAAGAGTAAGCAGGCTGGGGTGGGTTAAGTAAGGGCTGAAAGTGCCTAGATGAAGTGGGGGAAGCTAGAGAGGAGGTACATTCTGACGTTTGAGGATAGACTAGGTTCTTTATGTGAATGATAGGTGAGTTATTTGACAGATCGAACTGAGAGCAAGGTGTGGCTTGTGTAGCTGGGGTGGACATGAATGTTTGGGGTGCAAACCCCAGGCCGGCCAGGTCCGAGGGGGGGCAGGGAGAGACGGGCCTGCCTGCCTCTGCCTGCGCTGTGGTGTGTTTTGCCCCGACCGACGGACGGACCGACCTGCCAGCTGTCTCCGCAGTAGCAGCGCGGACTGGAGCTCCGTCATTCTCCCCGCCGGTGCCCGGGGAGGGGAGTGTGGGGCGGCCGCTGTGGAAGCGACGGCGTGCTCCTCCTCCTCCTCCTCCTCTTGCAGGGCTAAAGCCAGCCGGCTAGCGCTCGCCCCTCCTTGCTCGAGCCGACCCCGCCGCCGGGGGCCTTCCCATCCTCTCAGCGGCGCCGCCTCGCGTCCCTCGTCCGGGGGTTGGGAGGGGGCTGGGGGGGAGGAAGGGGGCGAGGGGGAGCAGCCGCCGCCGCTCCTGAGGAGATTCTGAGGCGGTGGCGGGCGACGCGTGGTGGAAGAGGAGGGGTCCCGCCAGCCCCGCGTTTCTCTCTCTCTCTCCCTCATGGAAACCTTCCCCTCAGCTTCTGCCGCTTTTTCTCTTCTTTCCCTCTTCCTTTTTTTTTTTTAAAAAAATGAAAAATCTTTCCTTTCTCTCTTTTCCAGCCCCCCCTCCCCTCTTCACGGAATTTCACTGCACTCGGGCGCCGCGGCGCGCAGGCGCACTGCTCGCTCCTCTTTCCGCGCAGGCGCCTTCTCTCGCTCTTTCGCCTCCTTTTCTTTCTCTCTCGATGGTCCGCCTACAAAGGAGCGAGGGAGGCGCCCGCCATGTTTGGATTTGCATCCAGCAGGAGATGCCGCCGCCGCCCCACCTCTCGCCGCCCGACTCGCCCGCCTCCCTCCCACGGCACACCAGGCAACGTCTCGCGGCACACTAGTGTGCCGCGGAACACCGGTTGGGAAACACTGCTGTAGAGGGAGGGGGGAAAACACACACAATCACAACCAAGGTTCAATTATGCATCTTGATTGCATAACTAAAGGAGCTGGTGGCCATTCTGTTTGCACTACCCTTGACCCTGCGGTCTCACCTCCTGGTAAGCGGAAGCAACATGGCCAGCCAGAGGTCAGGGAAGCGGCCCTGCCCCAGCGCCTGCTGCTTCTTGGGCTCTAAGCAGCCGGCATGCGCAACAGTCGGGAACAATGGGGGCCGCAGGAAATTTGATGGGTGCAAATAGTCGTTAGAGGTGGCAAACATCAGCTGCAAGCAGAGACACGCACAACCTCGTGGCCCTTCAGCTGAGAGGGGAGCAGGGAAGTGGACTCCTGTCCGCTAGGCAGCAGCTAAAGCACAGGAACATAAGGAGAGCCTTGCAGGGTCAGGCAAACACCAGTGTCTAAGCAATGATTCTTCAACATCAACTTCGTTGGACTGGTCATGTTGCGCGGATGCCCGGTGATTGTCTTCCAAAGCAACTACGCTATTCTGAATTTAAAAATGGAAAGCGTAAAGAGCCCACGCAAAACACTTTGAGTTTGTGAGACTGAAAATCTGTACGAGACTGACTGCTGGAACAAGCCCAGCGTTGGGTTCTCGTAAGGGCCAAAGAGGGAGAGAGAACTCCTCTGCAAGTGTAGGAGAGGAGAAAAAGAAGGCACACTGGAGGGGTGCCAGGGTGTGAAAGGAGGTTTTCTCCTTAAGCACCTCTTTACGCCCTCAACAAACTGCAGCTCCCAGGATTCTTTGGGGAAGCCACGACAGTTTAACGGGGCATCAAAGTGCTTTAACTGTAAAGGTTGTGCGGATGCCTGATTATTGTCTGCCAAAGCAACTACTCTATTCCAAACTTAAAAATGGAAAGCGTAATGCCGGTGGTCAACAAAAGAGGTTCAAAGACCGTCTCAAGGCAAATCTTTAAAAATGTAGTATGAACACTGACAACTGGGAAACACCGGCCTGAGAATGCTCCAGTTGGAGAACAGCCTTTGCCAAAGGTGTCATGGGCTTTGAAGACACTTGAACTCAGGACGCAAGGGAGAAACGTGCTAGGAGGAAGGCATGCTTGGCAAATCCACATCGTGATCAACTCCTGCCCAGGAACCAATGTCCCCACTGTGGAAGAACATGTGGATCCAGAATTGGCCTCCAGAGTCACTTACGGACTCATTGTTAAAATGTGTTTATGGATGACAATCTTACTCAGCTATGAGGGATTGCCAAAGAAGAAGTCCAGCATCCTGATCTCACAGCCACCACCCAGATGCCTGTGGAAAACCCGCAAGCAGGATCTGAGCATGAGAGGACTCTCCCCTCCTGGTGTTTCCAGCATCAGGTATTCAGAAGCCTTGCTGCCTCTTGACTGCGGAGACAGAGCAGAGCCATCCTGGCTAGTGGCTAGTGAAGTTGCCTTATTCTGTTTCTGAGCCACCTAAGTTGGTGGCCATCACTGCCTCTTGTGGCAGAGAGTTCCACAGGCGGATAGGATGGGAAACATGTGCCACCGCCCCCCCCCCGTTGTTCTCCAACTCCTGCATGGCTGACAGTGGTTTGACACCGCCAGGCAGGCGCCTAATCTGGCTTCCCCCTGGCCGCTCCCCCTCCGCCGCCACCCCTTCGTGCAGAGCTAGGGCTTCTCGCGACACAACTCACTTGGATTCTTCCTTCTCGTCCTTTTCCACTTCATCTCTTTTCTCCTCCTCTTTTTTCTCAGTTTTCTCGGCCTTCTCCTCCTCTATTTTTTCCTCGACTTTTTCTTCTTGGGAAGGACGTGGGATTTGCTGAAATGGAAGGAATCGGAATTACACAACGGGGATACAGCCAGCAGCAGCGGCGGGATCAGGGCTAGGAGATCACAAGCGCCCGAGCTAAAATCTCGGGGATGGGAATCCTCCTGGCGCCCCCCACCCCACAAATCAGAGATGCAACCGCATGTTCACTTACACCAGGCATTTGAGAAAGAAAGAGGAGAATGAATGAGAACTGGGACCAACCCGTGAAATATTCCCAGCATGAGGAAACCTCACAAATACTGCCACAACAAGAGGGTAGAATTACTCATACAAATCTTAAGATTCCCACGTGAAGTGACATTCACAGCCTGGATGAAAAAGAAGCAACCATAATCCAAATTTACAAAGGGTTATTTTGCCTAGTCACCTATAGGCTATTGCTACTCTAGGGCAGAGCTTTCCAAACTTTTCCTGTTGGTGACACACTTTTTATCAATTCACGACACAGTAATTCAGTTTTACTAGCAAACCGGAGGTTAAACTAACCCTTTTCCAGCCCCGGGAGAAGCGTGGAGAGCATTCAGAAGACACACCTACACACTGCAGCCAACACACTCACCTGTCACGACACACAGTTAGGAAAGCTCTGCTCTAGGGGATCTGGAAAGTGGCTAGTTACATGCAGAGCCGGGGATTGAGCTAAATGCAATTTTGGCTTCTGGGTTCCATAAATGAAGAAAAGTATTAACGGTAAGGAAGAGGAGAGTCAATTGTACCCTCCCGATACATGTTCCTGCCCCTCTGCCTGCCTTCTTGCAGAACAGACTCATACTATAGGCCTAATCTGGCTTCAAAAAGATGCTGTTTGCCTGCAACGGTTTTGGGAGCAGCGTCTCCAGGGAGGGCTAGGAATGTGCCGCTGCCAGTCAGTGCAGACAATATCGGGCCAGATGGACCAATCTGGCATAAGGCTTGGGATCTGCAGGGAGAATGCTTAGCCCCCGTGGCGAAACTAAGCGGAAACCCCAGGATGCGTTGGTGGGAGGGAAGGCACGACAGAGCGAAAGGCGTCTAAGGTTTATATTAAGGCGGCCATGTAGCTCTCTGAAGGGTGCCCAAAGCAGTGTGATGCCGAGGTCAGTGTTGGACTAGGGCTCAGAAGACCAGGGTTCAAATCTTGGCCATAAAGCTCTCACTGCAAGTGACCAATCACTGCCTCTCAGCCTAACCCACCTCACAGGGTTGTTGTGGGGATTAATGGAGGAGGAAGGGAACCATGTACGCCACCTGGAGCTCCTTGGAGGAAAAGATGGGATATAAATGCAATAAATGAATGCAAGAGATAAATTCCAGGTGGGCCGTCACAGAGATCGCCTCTGGACTCACGGGTTTGGCACTGCCGCAGAGAAGATGCCCGACTTAAATGTCTTCCGTCACCCTATATTGGGCATAGGCAAACTCGGCCCTCCAGATGTTTTGGGACCACAACTCCCATCACCCCTGAGCACTGGTCCTGTTAGCTAGGGATGATGGGAGTTGTAGTCCCAAAAACATCTGGAGGGCCAAGTTTGCCTATGCCTGCCCTATATGATACCACTTTAGGCAGATCTTTGATTTTTCTCTTTCGGAGGTGGATCTTTGATTTCTCTCTCCCTGACTCCGAAATATTCATACATACTTCCCATACACACAGCGCAACCTTTTAAAATCCCCCCATCGGTTTCCTGTATGGCCAGCTGTTATTCAAAAAAGCACAACAAGAACCTAAGCCCAGCACCTGGTCACAGAGCGCAGACCCCGCCCAGTCTCCCCCCCCTAAACCCAGTGCTGTCAAACTCCCATCAACTCCAGCCAATACGGTCAATGGTCAGAATGATGCAAGTTGCATTCCAAAGCATCTGGAGGGCAAGAGGTCGAGAGGAAGGCTGCTCTAGCCATTTCCTTCTCTGTGGCCTCTCTCTCTCTGCCCCCACTCTAGGAATCAACTCTACCACTTTGGCCCAGGGCCAAGGAAACGGTGGTCTCCTGCATATTGACAAACTACAACTCCCATCATCCCTGTTGGTAAACGCTGCCTCGGGGTTGATGGGAGTTGGGAGTCCAGCCACATTTGCAGGAGGGCCGCAGCCTCCCCAGCCCCTGGACGAGAGGCGAGGGCTCCAACCAGGGAGACTTCCAAGCCCACCTCCCTGGCTCGGCGCCTGAGTCCATCTCAAGGCTGCTCATCCCTTCTTGGCCTATCCTACCTCGCTGGGCTGTTGTGAGGGGCGAAGCAGGAGGGGAGAAACAAGGCATCCTCAATTTACACACTACGCTGACTTCTTTTGAGGATCGGATATAAGAAGTGACGGCCTTAAATCGATCGCTGGGCAAAGCCAGCATTTATATAACTTTTCCGGGGGGGGGGGAGGAGTACTTGTCATTGTGATTGCAAGACGTTTTGTAAGGTGGATTGGGCGAAATATTGCAATGAAGACTATGAAGAGAGTTATTAGTTAAGGGCGATTAAAAATAATAGAGAAATTAAGAAATGTAGATAAAGTGATAAATATTGAAAAATCTTCAGATGTGGCCGATGGAAGTCCAAAACATTGTATAAGATAAGAAAACATGTTAAATGACTGTTGGGAATGATATGTTTCAAAAATTACATATATACTGTATACATCTAAAAACATTTTAACATATCATTTCCAACAGTCATTTAACATATTTTCTTATCTTATACAAGAGTACAGTGGTACCTCAGGTTAAGTACTTAATTCGTTCTGCAGGTCCGTTCTTAACCTGAAAGTGTTCTTAACCTGAAGCACCACTTTAGCTAATGGGGCCTCCTGCTGCCGCCGGAGCACAATTCCTGTTCTCATCCTGAAGCAAAGTTCTTAACCCGAGGTACTATTTCTGGGTTAGCGGAGTCTGTAACCTGAAGTGTATGTAACCTGAAGCGTATGTAACCCGAGGTACCACTGTACTTCTCATACACACACACACACACACACACAATATAAAGAGAAGTACTCTTCATTGCAACTTAGGTCTTTCCCTTCATACGCACTCAGAGAGAAGAGCCTCAGTCGCTGGAAGTCAGCTGTTCCCATTCTAAAACACTCAAGGAATATTTAGAGAGAGCAGCGGGTCGAGTGTGCGCATTGGCAGAAACTGGATTGTGTTTCTGGTGCGCAAGACGACCCCGGAAAACGTCCTGGCCTGTGTGGTCTATTCAGAAGAGTCCGAAGGGTTTGCCAACATAAATAGTCACACAGTGCCCCCAGATGTGCCGGGGAACACACATACTCAAGCAAAGAGGAGGAGGGGGGTTGTTTACTAAATTTAAGAGAGAAGCAAACTCTAGCAGAAAGGACAGGGCAGCTGGAGGAATGAGACACAGCGTTCCTGACTCCTGCCGAAGGGAGGTTTGGTGCCGCTGCCAGGAGCTTCCAAATCAACAAAGCAGGTGGTTAAATCAGGCCCCCATCAGCCGCAATGAGAGGCGATTTTGGGACCGTTAAGGGCAGGCTAAGCTGGAGGAGAGCAAGGACGGCAGATCAAACCCGTGGGTTAAATTATATATAGGACTAGGGCCTGGGAAAGACCAGGGTTCGAATCTCCACTCAGCCACGAAGCTCACTGGGTGGTTCTGGGCCAGTCACACTGCGTCTCTCAGCCTAACCCACCTCGCAGGGTCGTTGTGGGGATTAAATGGGGAGGGGGAGAACCATGAACGCCACCTTGAGCTCCTGGGGAGAAAAAGGTGGGATAGAAAGGCAATACATAAATATTCTGGCAGACCTGCTGGGGAGAGGAGGGGTGTGTGTAAAGGAACATAGTAGATCAGACCCTCATTTGTGGGTGCTGGGGGGGAGTTTGGCAAAATTTTGCATCTCCAACTAGGCACCAAAATGCCTTGGAGGCTGACCCCAGTTTGGAAAAGAAAAGGGGAGTTAAGAGCCAGACATAAGAAAAAGACTGCATATTAAATTATTGTTTCTAAAGGTTCGTTTTTTGAAAAAAGGTGCTTTAAATATATTTTTAAAATCGCACATGCAGGCTACTTAATAATTTCCAAAACAACAACAACAACAAAACAAAAAACCTTCCTTAAGCCTAAGCAACAGATATCTTTATTACAGTTAAGGCGGAGGCAGGGGGAGAAAAGCCCCAAAGTTATTTTTAGAGTGAAAATGAGATTACCTTTGAAACGCTTTAAAACTCAAAGTGACGCTCTTAAAAACACATGCACACAGTAGACCCCACAAGCCTTGCTTACGGCTACGACGCCAAAGCGTTTATGGCATTAACTGGTTATCCCAAGTGTTTCTTTAACAAGGTTTAAATTTAAAAAAAGGGGGGGTGTCCTTTGCCACGCTCCCACCTGTCACCAAGTCACAGCAGCCCTAGATGTAAAGGGTTAACGTTACAAAGCCACGGGGGGGGAGTTCCTTCTCTCCCCCCCCCACCCTGCACAGCAACACACAAAAATTAGACAGAGCTAATCACCCGCTTCCTAATTTTAAACCTCTCTCCCCCCCACGCCCCCCCCATTTTAAAAATAAACCGGCTAACGAGATTTTAAAAGTTGGCTTATCCGGCGGATGGAACAGAAGCAAAAGGCAAGTTCTGGGAACACAAACCTTCGGTCGGCTGAGGCTTCCCGGTTCGACGTACCTGCATGCTTGACTCTTGCTTAAAAATAAAAAGGGTTTTGGTTTGTTTGTTTTAAATTATCCACAGCCCGGAGAAGGGAGATACCGGTCTGTGTTAGGCGTGGGGGTCAAAGGGGGAAAAAAAATCGGGCAAAGTTTCCAACGGCTCAAATGACACGGGGGGAGGCGAGCTTGCCGGCAGCACCTCCCCCCTAAATTTGGAGAGGGGGAGACTGCCCAACTTTTAGATTCCAGGGGGAAAGGGGAAGAAGAGAGGAAAGAAAGAAAGAAAGAAAGAAAGAAAGAGAGAGAGAGAGAGAGAGAATCTCACGGTGTCATCCTGGTCACTTAAAAAAAACGGAAAAAGCAAAGCACCTAAGCAGGGAGGAGAGTTGGCTGGCCACA